AAATTACAAATTAAAAGTAATTTAACATTTGCAAAGAATGGATCACTACCCTCGTCAATCATGTCGAGTGAGACAGAGTCATGTCAAAAAATATTCTTCTAATACCTAATTCGTTTATTAATTCGTATCTAACAAGTCGTGTCATATCATGTTCGTATCATATATAAATCGTGTATACTGATATATAAACGAATCGTGTTGTATTTTTTTTTTTTATTGACTTCACTCATACTCAATTTGTTTATTAATCGTGTCGCGTCTGATTCGCTCATTTAACGAAACGAGTGATTTAACAAAGATTCAAACTCTCTAATTTCATTTCGTGTTAACGAGACCTGTCATAATTTGACACCCGTAATTGTCACTGTGGTGAATCCACGGGTACCACATTGGGTGTTTGATGCCATGAGAAAAGAAACAAACTGTTAACACTCTCTCGTGGCCTACCGGCGTAATTAGAGGATCTAAAAGACATTATTATTGACGACGTGCTAGAAGGAGCCATGGAAATAAGTCAATAGTGCCTAGATGTAGGTAGTCAATCACAGAGACAAGTTATGGTGCACAATGATCAAGCACTAACCAGGACTTTAGTGGGTCTTATTGTATCTATAACTGCTCTTTCACTGTTACAATAATGTATGGCGATATAACCCATTTCTCATAATTTCTCACATTTTGAATCGTGATTTTCTTATACTTTAAAAAAAAAAAAACAAATACCATGATTTATAAGTCGTTTGTACGTGGTTGGCCTAATTTTTTGATTGCGGGTATGTTAAAGTTTGGTTAAACTTGTGAGCTCTAAACACTTACGTCCTTACGTACTAGGACCAACACAAAGTATTAATTGTGATTGTTCAGATGATTGAACCAAAACTAAAAATATTTCTGGTTTTTTTTTTTTTTGGGTCTTTCTGAACACTTTTTGCGAGTTCAAAAATAACGGCTGTAATGAAATAAGAAAGAAAAGAGGTGTGGCTAAAGAGAACAAGCTTTTTGGTGAATATCCAATGTAGCCCTAACATGCTAAGAAATAATAGGGGCAATCTGAGTTCGCAGTCTAAAAAATTTAAGTTTTTTACTTTACGCTCTTAAATATTAAACTTTTTATGTTGCATACTCAATTTATTAAAAATACAATTCATTAAAAGTATTATACTGTGACTCATTGGTTAGGTTCGTTGCTTATTTCGACAAAAACATCTCATTAACGTCGATAAAATGAATAACAAAAATAACAAAAAGATTACATTATAACATTTTTAATATATTAAACGTACAATGTAAAAAATTTAATTTTTAAAAATACAAAGTGAGAGATACAAAGTGTGAGACAGCTAAACAATAATGGGGGTAAAATTGAGAGCCACTACAAGAATAGAATGATTAAAATTGTAAGACTTGACTCTTATCCTCGTAGATGCCTTAGCTTGAACACATGACCTCCGCACTAAGAACTTTGTGCTCATTTATTCCATATTTTCATTCCCCAAACAGTAACATCGATGTTTATGGGTTTCTAAGAAGGGAATAAATCTACGAGCGGTAGTTCCAAGAAGATACATTTCGTGTGATATACGAACTCTTTATTTATTCCTCATGAGAAATTTATCAAGTGGCTGAACTACCATTAGTCCAGTACGTGAATAATAAAATACTGCGATGATTTATTAGAACAACTGAAATATCCGCCGGGGGGAGAACAATACCTAATTTCTAGTAACACCACCTAATTTGTAAACGATGTAAATACAGATTGACCACCCTAAACACGGGTGCCATGGAAAAGTTCGAGCACATTTCTAAGGCTAAGAAAGTTCAACTTCAATGGGCTACTTGGGTAACATTTACATATCTAAGATATCCCAAAAATGATAGTAATCATCTTTCATACTCTTCTATGAATACCTAATTTGAAAATGACATGAATAAATATTAGTGACCCTTAACAAATCCTGTTAGATCGGATGATCTATAGAACTTCAATAGTTAATATCTCAAGATCTCAATTTTATGCACATAGTGAAATACTTTACAATCATTAGTTCAAATGACACATAGTTAAACGATTGACACGAACATTTCGGGGTACGTCGCAGTCATGAGTTCAATGAACACATAAGTAAAACGTTCTCGGTTATCAAAAAAATAACAAACTTATATCCACAATCAACATATTTTTACTCTTCTAACTAAAACCAAATCGAGAATGACACAAAACCAGAAGCAACTGCCTGAGTGCACGCAAAGAACATAAAGGAGTGTCAAGAAACTCACCCAATTGACGAATTCCCTTGCTCCAGCTGCATATTGACTCGCCAGACTCACATTGCCAACTCACCAATGTTATACATTCAACCGTTGATCAAAAAGTCTCAGGATTTTGAGGGGTTTGAACTTATAACTATTTGAACGTAACATTCCACCACGTTTAGACTCAATGTCCACGATGGCCTACTCTATCGACACTGACTCAATGGTAACCTTTTCTCTTTGACAGCTCCACTCACTTACCAATATTCAATGCGATAATATTATGGACATACATAATACTAAGACATTTTAATTTAGCCTATAGGTCACCCCTTTCTGTAACTCGAACTCATGACGCAGTGCCTACTCTAATACCAAGTGTTATAAGTCCAACCGTTGATGCAAAAGTCCTAGAACTTGTTGGGGTTAGAGTTCATAACTATTTGAACATAATAACCAATATGTTTGACTCATACAATCGTAAAGAAAGCTTCAAAGGCGTCATGATTATCTCTCTCGGCAATGCTATAGGAATTTAATTTTGAGATCTAATCAAGGATCGAATTCAATACAATCATTAGATTAGTTATGAATTTCAACGTTAAATGAAACCCATTTTTAATCCAATAACTGTAATTGATTAGGCCCCCAGATTAGGTACCCAACTACGTCCAAATAGTATTTTTCTTTATCTGATTTAGTTCATGAATCATGACCCGTGAATTGCACACCTAAAAAAAATCATCATGATGGGGTCCAAAGATGCATAAGCCATAAGGGCCATTTTGTTTAAATAGCAAAATTACCAGGGCACCCTTTAGCATTTTTTACTTATAAATACAAATCATATTTTTCCTCCAAACTAGCTTACTTAAGAGCAACCTATTGAGTTTCTTTCTTGAGGCAGTGTTTAATATGGGAAACTGCTTAGTTCTGCAAGACAAGGTCATCACAGTCATGAAAACAGATGGGAAAATCCTTGAATACAAAGCACCCATGAAAGTTCATCAAGTGATGTCAGAATTTACCGGTCATGCAATATCTGACACACTTCCGGTTGTTCGCCATCTCCCTCCGGATGCTGACATGCTTGGCAGCCACACGTACTATCTTCCACCTCTTCCGGCGCCTCCAGAGAAATTCAACAAGAAGATGATCAGGTTCTCGAATGCTTTGATAGAAGCTGGACAAGAAACCAGAGTAGTGAGGATTAAGCTGGTCATTAGTAAGCAAGAGCTGGAGATGATGCTTAGAAAAGGGGGAGCTTCAGCTGATGGCATGGTTTCTCAGCTTCGCCAAAAACACAGCGCCAATGGATTACTCAAGTCTGAGGGTGATAGCCAGGGCTGTAAAGGGTGGAAACCCGTACTGGAAAGCATACCTGAAGCCAACTAGCCAACATTCCTCTTCTTTTCCTCTAATTCGACAGATTAAATTTAAAATACAAACCCGGCTACCAATGGTTATGAGAGATACACTGTCTAGCAATACAACCAATAAGGCCAAGAAAGATTTAGAAGTATGCATTTCAGTTTTTTTTTTTCTAATATCTCATAAGGCTAGCATAAAATTCTAGTGAGTTATTGTCTGCAGTTCTTGTCATGAAGCGAATAAATCGGTGAATTTATCAGTTGCAAGAAGTTCAAAATGAGACGTGTTATCCTCAATATCACTCTGTCTTAATGATAGGAATTGGATTGTATTTCATTATAATAGGCGCAGACATAGGGATTAGGTGTTATTTGTCATTTTGATTTTCAGGGGCTTAGTTGTGACTTTTGATTATTATTGAATATTGGCATTGCTTCCTTCTCAAATTCTTTCTCTTTTCTCATCCCTTTCTTCTTCTCTTCTTATCCATAATTCTTCCACTTTCTAATCTACATCACTTAAAGCATTAAAGGCATATCTTACATGCAACAAACTAAAAGAAGTATGCAATGGAAAAGTTAAACTACAATGTCCATGAGATAAGAGCACCACCACATAAACAAGGCTAAGTCAGTCGTGTCATAAAATCAATTTTTCACATCAAATTCTACATATATGGATGAGGAGAACATATTTTTCCCCACAACTCGTGTATAACCATTTTGTTTCTAGGTCAGGAACTAAGTAACACCAATAATATATGACCCTCATGGTCTTCTCTATGCAAAACGGTCCCATGCCCTTTCATCCGTTAATCTATTGTCTCCAATAAATTAAGCAAAATGCTTTTCAGGAAAAAATATACAATAAGAAAACAGTCCAGAGTGGTCAACAAGCTTCAGCTATTCCTTTTCAAGAAGATGATACGAAAAGGATCCATATCTACAGGTATATAAAACAACTTTGGAAAGTCAACTCCAAACTAAAAGTTCCATGTAGATGTCTAAATTTTATAAACTGTAGTAGCATAATAGAATTTGATTTTAGCTTTCCAGTGGAACATGCAAGCTTATACAAGCAAAATTACAGTAAATTTCAATCTAAAATTAGGCTTGATGCCAATTCATCATCAAAACTAAATAAAAAAAGACATTTCATCAAGCAGAACTGTTGAAGTAGGCATAAAGTGGAAGGCAGGCTATTTTCAGATGTATGCGATACAGTCAATGTTATCGAGTGGAAGGAATTTACATCATATATTAAATAAATGTACCTGACTTGGCTGATCACCATTTACAATAGTTTTACTGGTATTAAAGTGAGCCAACTTAAGTACAGTATTCTGAAATTGATTAATATCACATTCAAAGGAGCTACTCTTGCTTCCTTTCAACTTCAACAGCAATCTCATTACGACGTAAAAATGGAGGCGTAAATGGTGGATTGTACTGCAATGACATGCATAGAAAGCACGACAAATAAATAAACCATCCTTCACACAAGCTGACCAAATTCTAGTCTGTTGATAATGTTCTTCATTTTTAGCTAATACTATGCTTTGAAGTTACCTGTGCAACTTCCACTGATGTAGCCTCTTTCACTTGAAATTGTTTATCATTCTTTAGTGCATCCCGAAGTGTTGATTCCCGACGTTTGATTTCCTCATCAGTTACGAAACCTGACTCAAGATCGAAAAGGAACAAAGGTCATGCAATTGATCATCCATAACTTGAGTCTCATGCATTCTAATGAATCTACATGCCACACTATCTGTGCCTCCAACCATAATGAATCATATACACTCACTGCAGCTGAACGCTTCTGGATCAGATCTAAATTCTATACATATTAGTACTACATGCATGATTCCTACTGTAAATTTGTAATGCAAACAATCCTCCAGGATTCTTGATTATGAAGAAAACACTTGACATCTTCTCATGAATGGAACTGAACAGAGGTAAAATTACGTGGATATCCCTCATGCATACCTTCCCATTCTTCAAAATTACGTATCCCAGGCAAGTATTATTACAATTGTACGTTACAACCACTCCTGGTGAAAGGCCTACACTGTTCTCTAAATCCCTACCGTCCAAGGCTTCTCATGTTTAAGGAAGGACAAACCTGAAAAGGCAGTAACTGCAACAATTTTACTTGGCACCTCCTTGATAGTGACAGATGAATCCTTAGGCAATGGCAAATTGGAACCATACTTTGAGGGCATGACAAACGACATAGTCCACTTGTCTTGATCTCCCATCTAAATAGAAAAAAATTTAGCTAATCATCTCTAATGGGAGCAGAAGGTAAAGAATTTTCTTCACAACGAAAACTGAATTAGGGTGTTCATATGCTACAAACACCATTCCATTAAATGGGCTTCAGATTGGGCCTTCCACTGTTAGACATAAACATAAGGCATGAAGAAATCCCATAAAATCTGTTTGCAATAGTTTCAGATTGAATGTGTAATAAAACCCATCAGAATACACCACTCATATTAAGACTTCTCATCTATCAATAAGTCTTTATTGTATCAAAGAAGAGGCAAGTATAAACCTGCACTGCACATGTCACTCTTCTACCTCATTCTTGAAGGCTAAGGAAAACCAACCAAACTAGAACTAATTTTGATAAATAATCCGTTCAGATGCAGCTAATCCAGTTAGTAGAATCTCTTATAGCCCACCCAGGGAACAGGTTCACTCATTTGAGCCATGGGATATAAGTTGGGCCTCTGTTTTATTCTCTGCTACAACCCAAAGTTAATAGCCTGAGCACATGAGAATGCAATAGCCTCATCAAATTGTTGTCTTAGATCCAATTTCAAAGAGCAAAAGAAATCCACCTGCTCAAATAACAAAATCAACAGAACAGTGGATGTAACAAATACAATTGTTTCGTTAAAGTTGTTCAGTCATTGATCTGACATGAATAGATCACCGAATAAATGCTGCCAATCACATGGTACAAATGGAAAGTATGACAATTCGAGAGTATCCGTGGCTACAAATCCCCGAGTACATGGTCCATGGTTGAATCTATGAAGTTATGGTCTTTTTTTTCATCAAATAAAAATCGTATAAGAAAGTAGCCAAAAAACTACATGCCAAGGCCTACATTGAGTTTCTGTCACATTAGCCTAGTTTCTTTTTTCTAGGATCTCAAATTCTCATCCTTGAGTACAGGATAGACTCTGAAACACTTGTGAGCATTCACAAGATTTCAAGACCTTAAATTTTTTATCAGGATTACCAGTAATAACAAAAGGAAAGGGTGAAAACTAGAGGCTGCAAGGAGCATTCGACCATCAGTATAATTTTTGTGTACACTTACACACAAGGAGTAATAAAAGACATGCACAAAACTTGAACAATTACCACTACAACAGAATAGACAATAATAAGAACTGATCCATTCAAAGGTCTTACCTTTGTAGTTATGACAGGGGTCGTCATCTCCATTTTCTCCCCATCAGATTCAATCCTACGAGTAAAAACTGGTGTAGTCATCTCCATTTTCTCCTTCATTGTATTCTGGAAATAGCACGAGAGCATAAGCTCGCAATAAAGGTGATTTCACAACAATGTAATTTTGGGGAAAAAAATATTTCACACTTTTAACTACCTTACCAAACAGATACTCCGCCAATACATTGAAAGATCGAGATGCACCATTAAAATCAAATCCATACTTCCCAGGCATTGTTGTCTCAGCTATAAAGTAAGGCTGTTTCACAGTCACCATCCCATTTCAGATACACAGATATGCTCATGAAAAACAAAGTACATAGCTGTATGTTCCCAAATGATTGTGCAAAGTCGATCTCGGCTCATGGTGTGTGCATTCAGCTTTCCTACTGAGGAAATTCACAAGCACACACGCTACCCCGCGGGGGGGGGGGGGGGGGGGAAGGGTTGGAAGTGACATAGAAGTCTAGAATTCATACCTCAACTTCTCTTATCTCATACTGGTCTGTGCGGCTCAAAACCTTGAATTCTACCGTTTCAAGATCGGGAACTGCCAAGACAAACAAAAAATAATAATCGGTTCTTAAACACAACAAATTAAAATTCGAAGTTCCTCAAACAGAAACCAAATCCATCAAGACGTTGACTACACCTGACATCAACGCTTCTTCCAAATTCCGAGCTTCAAACCTCCTCTGCGGGAACACGTATTTCGCAGTCTCAGTCGCCAAATCCATCAAAACTACAAGAGTGAAACCCCCCAAAAAATAAACTCATGTGAATCAAAGTCGAAACTTAAACGAATCAATGATTTAGAACATAATCGAACATGTTGACGTAGTAAATGTTTTCGTGGTGTGAACATTTACGTCTCTGAGAGAGAGAGGAGGTCTGGGAGGCGAGAGCGAGGACGAGAGAGACTCGAGCTTCAAAAGCGGAATCGCTTCTGGTTCTTTTCTGTGGAGTACTCGAGGAGATTTTGCCAGTGGCCATGGCCTTCACCGACGTCGACGGGGGTGACTTAGGGTTTATGAAAGAGAAAGATGAAGTAGTCATGGATGGTTTGCAGACAAGCATTTCGGTACTCAAGGTTGAGTTTGAAATTCTGTTTGTAAAGAGAGGAGTATCACTGCGGGAGTGGTCGGGAACACTTCTAACTGCCTTTAAAAGCTGTCACGAGTTCAAATTTGGCCACAGCAATTTTTCTTCGTCCCTATCTTAGCGTTGACGTGAATCATTTTTTTTTTATTAAATCAAAAAAAGAAATAGTTCAAATGTACATAAATTAGTTTAAAGGCCTCCGTTAAATTAAAAAATAAAAAATTTATAACTTCTAAGCTACCCAAAAAAAAAAAATTGGTAGGTAATATAAGATCGATCATTAATTGCTTGAATGAATTTTTTTTTTTTACGAGTTATAATTTAAATTTAAAAAATATAATTTTTATGATCGATCATAATATTTAAGATTGATAATAATTTTTTCAATCTTAACTTGCAATTCAAAAAATTATAACTTAGTGACAAAAAATTATAAATTTATTCCATAATGCCTTCAATGTCCTAGTGTTTCCCTTAATAGCCATAAGATATACCAATTTGCTGAGTTATTTTTTCTAATATTCTGTATTATCTAATAATGTACGGACTAAATCCTTTGAATTAGCTTGAATTCGAATTTGATTCGATAATTCGATGGATTTAATTTTTGTGATTTATATCCGAATTTATTAACAATTCGATCCAATCCAAATAAATTAATTTACTTAAATTTTAACAAATTAAATCTAAATTTTAACTTTTTTTCAAATAATCACTTGATTTTTTTTAATATTTATACAAAAAATATATAAATATTTCAGATCGAATATAAATATATTCAAATTCAAATCCATGAAATATAAGATGTTAGATTGGAATAATCGATAAAAAAAATATCAATTAATATATGACTAATCGAATTTGTGTTTGGATCGGATTCAGATAAAAAAATCGATCCATCGACAAATCTACTTTGAATAGTCTTTTTAGTTATTGGCCGATCATCTATTATTAGTGTACATAGAACAAAGAGTTCTACTTGAATTCATGGTAAATAATTTATCCAATAATAAAATAAAGAGAAAATATATTAAAGGATATCTTAGTCCATTATGTGTGGAATCATTTTATCTCAACTGATGTAGTTTTAATATTATGCAAAATTATCCATCAAATCCTTATTTTATCCCTTCAATTTTAGAATTAGGCAAAGTCATTCAATATTGGATTAAACAAACCTTTTCCAATTTCAATTGAGTAATTATATATGAGCAATAATGATGAAAGTGACTATGTAGATTGGAGGAATTTGATCAAATACAGATATACTAGTTATTGCATGTGAAGTACAGAGAAATAAAAAATAATAAATATATTTGTAGTCATATCTAAAATCAAATCACAATCATAGAGAAAAAGATAAAAGAATTTAAGTATCGATTTGTAATGGGGGTGAGAGGTGGTGGGCGGCAATGGTGATGGTAGGAGACAGTGGTGATTGTGGTGGGTGACAATGACTATGATGCCAATGGTGGCGGCGAGGGTTGCGGCAATGGGGGTGATGGTGAGGGTGGTGGTAAGCGTGGCAGTGGTGGAGGCATTGGTGGTGGGCGTGGCGGCGGCAACGACAGTGGGGGGTGGTGGTGGCGTGGCAGCAACGGCAACAACGACGACGGCGACACTAGTTTGCAGTGGGGGTGAGAGATAGTGAGTGACAGTGGTGGTGATAGGAGACAGTAATAGTTGTGGTGGGTAGCAATGACCGTGGTGGCAGCGATGGTGGTGACAGCGGCGATGGCGACGACGATAGTGTGGTGGTGGCTGCGACGGTGGTGGTGGCACTAGTGAGGGTGGTGTTGGTGATGGTGGTGGGCATATCGGTGGCGGTGGTGGTGGGCGTGGTGGTGGTGGTGGCGGTGGTGACAACGATGGTGATGTGATGTTGGCGATGGCGGCGGCAATGGTGGAGATGGCGACGACAATGGTGGTGGTGGTGCGGTGGTGGGGGTGCGACGACGGTGGGGTTGAGGGTAATGGTGAAACAGTTTCAAACACTATTTTTTTTTTAAATATTTATAAGAAATAATTTTTAAAAGTATTTTTAAAAAGTCATTTCAAACACACATTAAGAGTCTAATTTTTTCTATTAAATTTAGTGTGTTAATACTAACCGTTAGATTAACTTTAAAATAAAATTTAAAGATATCTCAACCGCGAATAGCAAAAATTATTTTGTTTATCTTTTGAGATTTGTAAACTACTTTATTATATAGATGTTTGTAATTAAACAAATAAAAAACCTAAATAATAAAAACTATAAAGGACAAGCTTTATAAGTCTTGTCCTCTAATTTGATTTTTCTACTAGTATAGTAGATTGTAGGCTTTTCCTTCACCCTTTTGATTATTCTAACAGATTAGATAGTAATTGGGAGGATAGTAAAGTAATTTTGAGCACATCTTGTAACCTAATGCACAATAAGGACTCAAACATGGGTAAGATTCGAACAAGAACCCATGGGGTTTCAGTACAAAAACCCGAAAAAACTGAATTATCCGTCAAGATGTGGAGTATCAACGGCTAGACAGTAAGATCTCATGCACCTTAACTATAGCTTCGCAGTGATAACCTTGATCCAATGTGTAGGATAGGTGGGAACACAACGACCAATCCACATAAGTCCATCATGATCTCCTACAAAGCTATCTATTAATTCATCAAAACCAATCTCTATGTAAAATGGCGAGTTATCTATAATCTCCATATACATTTGGTACAACACTTGAGCATACAAGAATGAACATTATCTGAAATCCAATAACTCAGATAGAACTGATTGATCGTCGAAGATTCTTATACTAACACCATGTCAATAACCCTGCTCACCATAGTTTCTCGCTTATTTTGCAGGAAATCATGAAAAGCCAAATTACCATCATAGTTCAAAGTCACGGCATCGACGATCAACTCGGAGAGCTCCGAGACAAGTTTTCTCCATCCGTTAGATCCTCAATCGAGGGGGTTTTGTGGTTGCCAGTTTTCAAGTATGCTGGTTGAGAGGATATCTCTGTACCCATGAGCAGCAAAGCTCCCTGGAAAATCACGTTTGTTTTGGAGGGCATAGGCTGAAGCACACGAGGAGAATATCTCTGTACTCTTTTGCTTGAGAGAATTTTTCAGAACATCATTCTATTTTCAAATTTGTATAATAGATAAAGCTTCTAAATTATACATCTCATGAAAAACGGCAACATGAATCAATCTAGATGTAAGGCATGATGAATAATGCATCCAGTTTCTATGCATAATCAATCTAGATTTGAGCCATCATGAAGTCATATTGAAAATACAAGTAGAAACGAAAGGAGAAGCTAAACTGCCAAAGCCTCCTGCTGAGCATGCCAAGCTACCACATCTTTGTACGCCAAGTTGCCACCAAAAATATCAAGAGCACTACCCACAGTAATGTCCACACGCCCCCTCCCTGCAACTTTTATCCTCTCCAAATCAGCCATTAGAGTAACACCACCAGCATATGTCACCGGAATCTGGCACACATCCCCGTAAATCAACAATTTGTACAAGTTAGTTGGCATGCACATAAGGCCATATATCAATGCAATAGGTATAACAATGTGATGATCTCAAGTAGCTGCAAGCATTGATTCCATGGTTAAAGTAGCGGACTTCCATTCAAACCAACAAGAATGTTCAATCACAATGAATAAGTGGCCAGTCTGGCTTTGGAAAATTCGTCAGTTTTCTACTGGTCATCATATTTAGGCAGGACCTAAAGACTTAATGTGGACTGAGTAATCATTAGGAAGGCTCTAATCTTTTTGCATCAGTTTGTAAATTGAACATTTTAACATTTCTAGATAAAAAGTGTAGTAATAGCGGGTCCAAAAACTAGATACAGTGTGTACTAGTTAAAATTCATTTACTGCACTCAGCTTGATACAATGGGCATAGGAAGCAAGGATGCAAACTAGTCTCAGAATCAAACGAGAAATACACAATATAATCTCAGATCAGAAATTATTTGTTACACACCGGCGAGTAGCGGCCGAGCAATGCTACAAGCTCTTCATCAATTCCCAGTCTGCAACAAAAAAGTACTTGAAATCGGATCAACTTGATAAAATAAATGGAAAATTAAAATGCAGATTTCAGGTTAAATTCCATTGTAAAGAATTGAAAAGGGTCAGTATTTGGCTAGCCAGTGACCATAAATCTTTTCATGGATAAAAATTTCAGTTCTCAATGATGATTGATGCCAGCTGACTAAATTCATGAATCACGAACTACCATAATTACAGAAAGCATTATAGAAAATAAAAATTACAGCATGGCAGAACCGAGCAGTAAAGGCATCATACATTCGTTAAGGAATTGGTACAGGGAACCAATGATAGTTATAGGACTTACTTTTGTCCTTCAACATCAACTCCATGGACCAGAAACTCATCCGCATAAGAAGCAAGAGAATCCAATACTTTCTCCTCAAGATATACAGTACTGAACTTCTGCCATCTATCAGTAACGATGGCATATTTCCCCTCCTGCACATTAAGTCAATAACATAATCTTCACTGGTTCCAAAATTCTCCAGCAGTTTGTATAATTTATCTTTAGAACAATGTACCTTCTTCCTGCAACTAAGATCCAAGACAAGCCTCTGCTTTCCAACAACACCCACAAGTTCTTTTAGCCTCTCAAGGTCCATTTTTCCATTATTGAATACATACTGCAATGAAATTAATAACAAGTGTTGAGTCAACAATATTCCACAAAATAAGTTACAAGTTAGTCGGGTTTCCTATGTAGAGTACATCCAAATTTCTAGAAAATCCATTCTCACAAACTATACTCTAAACTAGAAGGGAAAAAAATCCTAGATATTTCTTTCAGAGCTGAGGAACTATCTGAAAATCCACAAAACCAAAAGATGACCCTCCATCCTACTGTTTCTAGTTTGATCAAATATGCTTCACTTAGTTATGATTATGAGTACCCACAGGTTCAACTACTAAAACCAATCCACCGTTCACTTTGAGCTATACAGAGTTGACTATGTAATTACATACTTCAGAAATAGGAAGAATATTATACACCATGATATGCATAGAAGACTGACATCATTCTGCCTATTCAATTTCAAGGCTCCAGTAAAAGATCATAGAAAATGCTTATGTGGCTATACCAAACTTCATGAAAACAGGTTATACACACTACACAGTACAGTTAAACAGGGCCAGAGTTTATGAGTCAACCAACATGGCAGTCCCTTTCCAGAGTTTCCCGCGACACAATTATGTAACACCATTGCAACAATACCAAAGCATATAAATCAGGCAGAGATGCCCTCCTTTCACCAAATCCAATATTCTGGTCGTATGTGAAACTTAAAACACAATGCACTGAAAGGATGAGAGAGAAAAAAGTTGTTAAAACACATGTTTTGTCTTCAATATGTAATCACTGAGAACATACTGAGGTGACAATGACATGGCTGGCCCCTTCCTCTATGTAACTCAAAGCATTGCTTGAACTGATACCACCTCCAACTTGCAAACCGCCTAGATGTTATCATCCTCGCAGTAAGTTCAGCAGAGGAAAAATCTGTAAGTTCAGACATTCTATCAAGAATAGAGACTTGAGGTTAATATCACTTAGGATGCATGAGCATGTATAATTTTTTAGTGATTATATAGAAAACTGCTATGCAAGTGGATGATAATTTAACGAGATCACAAATCACAGAAAATCAACTTGAGGCAATATCAGAAGTTGTTGCGTATTTTAGATGATTTCAGAATCAAATTTATGACCAACATTCATACTGAAGTGTCGGGGTAAAATTCATCAACCCAAGAAGGTTTCCTCAAAATAATTAAATAAAAGAAACAAATATGTTGATTGACTATTTAACACTAATTCCAAATCATCCAAACTGGTAATTTTAGCAAAATCTGCAGTGCATTGCCATTGAATTCTAGAAAGACTAACTGAATTTGCCAACAGAAATATTTTATCAAATTTGAACAAACTTATGTTTCAAGTTCCAATTGTTAAATTTCATTTTTCAAAATATATGAAAAATGTAGCTATACGTTGTTGTAAACTAATTATTTTCATAGATTCTGACATTCTGTATTAGCCTCTAGTATAATAGTTCTAATTAATGACAGCGAGATTTCATGGAGCAACACAGTGTATGCACTTTATGAATTAGCACATTGACATGTCTTTAACTGCTCTCTCTCTTGGAATTTGTTCGTAATTCTCTAAGAGTAGGAATGCTCATGTTAAAGAACAAATCAATATGTATATATCATAGGGGTACAGACTGCCAGGAGAGACAGTAACCAGAGCCCTACCAGGATAAGCATGCAATGCTTCAATGGATGCTGATTTGCTCAATGGATCAGCTCCAAGCATTATTACATGACCACCAAGAAGTCCATCTTCTTTATAGAGATATGCATATTCTGCTGGTGATTTGTCAGATTCAAAATTTGTGACAAGAGTTGAATTGCCTTCCTCTGCATCAAGAAGGGTGGACCCAACAATTTGCTTCACTTTTCCCTGAAGTCAAGTAAAAGACCTGGAAGTTAGCAATCAAATATTATATTTCGTCACATGGTCTGAACACACTTTACACTAGTTTGACCTATATGGACCACCAAACAACCATTTGACAACCCAAATCTTTGTTTCACAATAAAGCAACCTAAATCCAACTAGTGATGAATGGAGGGACCCACAATTCATACACTAGTTTTGGATTTTTGTTATGCTGAATTGGGATAAATTCTGACCCTTCTTTGCGCGTGTATCTCTCACTACAGCTTAAAACATCCAATTCAAAACCAATTGAGATTAAGTGGAAAGACCCATAGGGAACTTATACTAGGTTTTTTTTTTTTTTTTTTTTTTTTTTGGGGGGGGGGGCATTATTATAGCAACGAGGGAGAAACTACAAAAATTACAAAATTCCATAAAAGTGAAACAAAATTATTGTCCCCTTGGATGAAAGGTGTGGGTATTCTAACAAAAAAGGTAAAGGATAATCATTTAAGTCGATTGCAATGGACATTCTCAGATGTTGGACAAAAAATATTTATTTATTTTTGGTGCAATTTTGTTTCTCCAACACTTCATTACGAAAACACAGTGGGCATGATGCGACAAACACACTTACACAATAGTCAAGCAATATATATGGTGTGATTAGATTTCCACATTTGGCATGTGAAGCATGTTTCAGGCTCATTTACATGATAGCCCCAAACTAAAGTGTCAACTTTATGATACTTGGGTGTACAAATGGAGCCCCTTTGGTGACGGCCAAAATCACTAGCCCCTGTTCTTATTTCCGTAGACTAAATGGGGGTTTCCTTTTTGGCGAAGCATTTTTGGAAACCTAGAATGAAATTATTTAAAATAGTTTTTAGAGATAACCATGTGTAACAGAAGAACCTTTTTCTTCTTTTTTTAAAAGATTGGTGTGGTTTGTATATATAATCTAATCTTAAGAGAGATTTGTGAGGTGTTAGATAGTGGGTTTCTCTCGTGCACTCTTGGGTGCTACTAGAATCTAGTGAAAGAGTTTTCCCACAATTTGGGGAAACTATTTTTGTGTCCATTTCTTAGTAAATTCTCCAAGCTGAAAGCTGAATAGCCCCAGAACATTGGCTTAGTGCCACAACACAAATTCTTGGTGCATTTCTTATCTTGTGGTTTTTTTTCTTAATATTTTGTAAAATTTCCAGGAACCAGATTGACAACATTTACACTAGTCTTACCTGAAGGCAAAACATGCAGCAAAAATGTGAATCCAACTCTACAATATCAACCACAAAACAAATACTTAAAGAAAATTTTACCAATTCACCACACAAAAACTATAAATACACGTGACTGCATACCCCCTGTATAACGTAAAATGACAAAAATTAAAAAACAACAGACCTTGTGTATGTCGATACAAGGGCGAAACCGAACCCCACATTGGATTAGAAGTCTTTGAGGTCCTGTTACCGGCAAAGGAAAGATCCAATTCACTTATTACAAAAACTCAATGACACTTACAGAAGTGTAAATTCAGATGAAGTTCGAAGCAAACATACTGGCAAACGGAAAAGGAGCACTTGTCATGAACTTTTGCTTGTTGTTGGGACAGTAAATTGATGACTTTAAAGCTCTGTCAATTGACCTGATGTCCCATGAGATTGAAGCGGCTTGCAGTGTCTGAATACTCATTTGAAGTGGAGCAACCAGCTGGAAGTGTGGTCCTTAACTAGCAGGAACAAATCACCAAGACTCATTAAATCATTCTCATCATTTCCGACTGTGAGTGTGTGTGTGTGCGCGCGCGTTTAGGTGATCAGTTTCTTATACATTTCAACAAACACCTTCTGGGCAAGCTAATTGGTAAAGCCGAAACGAAATATTTAGGCGTTGGCTTCCATGATCAAGTACAAAAAGAACTAAAACGCAAGAAATTCTATAGACAACTTCAACTGAACAGATTCAACAAATGGGATTACCTGAGAGAGAGAGAGAGAGAGAGAGAGAGAGATGTCTTCAAGTCGAGCTCAAGTGATTTTCCAATGACGGCGCTGAGTCGGTATTATTTGAAACCTACGGATATATGGGTTACTCCAACGGGCGGGTGAATCTGCACCAGATGGTCCAGATCTAAATCGTTTGGCATAAAAAAAAAAGAAAAAAAAAAGGTTAAACACGACAATTAATCTTGAAAGTTGAGCGCCGTTTTAATATACTGAGGGCACGTTTGTTTGGATGATTTAACATGGTATTGAAAATATATTACATTTTAAATACCAATGAAATTAGTAGTGGTAATAGGAAGTATTTTAATACCCTCTCATATTTATTTGTTTAATAAGTATTATAATAGATCCCACAAAGAACCATCTATTCGATCATATTTTATATAACAAATATATTATTTTACCTTTAATATCATCTATTACATTATCCCGTTTGTGTAACATTTTTGCACAATATTTGGTACAATATATGATATGACAAACCATACAAAAAAATTTTGGATAATGTAAAAAATCAACATAAAAAATAAAGTTGCTACACTATGAATTGCTGATATCATAAAAAAAATTTTTTAAAAAATCGGTGATACTGTACGCTTAAATATAATACAAGAAAAAGATTTATAAAAAAATCGGTAACACCGTACGCTTAAACATAATATAAGAAAAAAAATCAAAATAATTTTTTAAAAAAACGATGACATCATACGCTTAAACATAATACAAAAAAAAAAATTTTAAAAAATTAAAAAAAATCGGTGACACCGTATGCTTAAATATAATATAATTTTTTAAAATTTAAAATAATTTTAAAAAAAAACGATGACACTGTACACCTAAACATAATACAAAAAAAAAATTTTAAATAAATTATTTATATTTGAATTCTTGACAAAAGTGGGTATTTGTGTCATTTTATCTTTTGTACCATCATTTCATTTAACTCCGAAAGATAATATCACCTACAAGGTTTAAGAGACATTATTCAAATTAGGCCAATATTACTAAACAAAAAATAATACTACTTGTAAAATGTCAAACAAGATAATAAGTGGGCTCTAATTACTTTTTCCTTCTATCTCACCCAATAATACTATTTAATACCCGAAACACTATAATACTATGTAATACCCGAAACAAATATGCCCCGATAGTCTTCAATTATCCGACAAGAAAGGGATAGAAAGAAAAGTGTGGATACTATTTGAACCGTAGAAGATGGATCGCGAATTCGGATCGCTCTCCTTCAGCGAGCAAGGTACAAATCATAGAACTGAACGACACCTTTCTATTGGATAAAAAAAAAACAACACCTTTCTGGGTGACAGCCTAGCAAGATGCCGTTGAAGAAACTCCTTAGACCCACTACCCTCAAACCACCGCGCCCCCGTCACTCACCACCACCCCCACTGCTTTCTCCACCGCCAAAAGCCACCTCTCTAACACCTCTACCCACCCTCTCTCTCTCCATACCCACCCCCCAAACCCATACCCAACTCACCCACTTCCTCCAAACCCACCTCAAAACCTCCTTCACTCCCCAAGACCTACTCTCTTTCCTCAAAACGCACCTCCACCACCACCCCAAATTCACCCATTTCGATTTCCATGTCTTCCTCTATGCTGCCTCGCTCGATTCCTTTCGCCACGACCACTCCACTTTTGAATGGATGGTCCGTACCCTTTCTATCACCCACCGTTTGGACACTCTCCGCTCAATCCTCGAATTCATCGTCTCCAACCCCTGCCCTTGCTCTGACGGTATTTTTTCTTGCCCAAGAACCGAACCCATTTTCCGTTTTGCTATTAGCTGTTATTGCAATGTTGGTAGATTTGATGATGCTTTGTTTATTTTTGATAGCATGAAAAAAATGATTGATGGGAAGCCTAATGTTGGTATATACAATACTCTGATTCATGGTTTTGTGAAATATAGAGAGTATGAAAAGGCTTTGGAATTTTATAGTAGGATGATTAAGGACCGGGTTAAGCCGGATGTAATTACATTTAATATTTTGATTAGTGGTTATTGTCGGAATTCGCAATTTGAGTTGGCTTTGGAAATGTTTAAGGAGATGAGGGATAAGGGTTGTGTTCCTAATGTAGTTAGTTTTAATACTTTGATTAAGGGGTTCTTCAGGGAGAGGAAGTTTGATGAAGGCATTGGGATGGCATATGAGATGATTGAGTTGGGGTGTCAGTTTTCAACTGTGACCTGTGAAATTTTGGTTGATGGGCTTTGTAGAGAAGGAATGGTTTCCAAGGCTTGTGATATTATGATTGATTTCTCAACAAATGGTGTTCTGCCCAGTAAATTTGATTATTTTGCTCTAATTGATATTTTGTGTGGGGAAGGGAATGTGGTGAAGGCGATGGAGATTGTAGATGAGTTGTGGATGAAAGGGAATGCTCCAAGCTTAATTGCTTGTACTACTTTGATTGATGGCTTAAGGAGACTGGGAAGAACCGAAGAGGCATACAAATTAATTGAAAAGATGCTCAACAGTGGTATTATTATGGATAGTGTGACTTATAATTGTCTTCTTCGAGATATGTGTGATGCTGGAAGAACAGTAGAAGCAAATAAATTGAGATTATTGGCATCCAGAAAGGGTTTGGATTCGGATGGCATGACCTACAACATTTTGGTAATTGGGTATACAAGGGAAGGTAAAAGAAAGGAGGGGGAAGTTTTGGTAGATGAGATGCTAGATAAAGGGTTTATACCTGACATAGCAACTTACAACAGATTGATGGATGGCCTTGCTAATAGGAAGAATTCTCTTCGGTGACAATGGCATGTTTAATGATGGGCAAAAATGTTGACATTCTCAGGCATCAGTCCGGTGCCAACAAATGCTGGACAGCGTTATTCTTTGGAAAAGAATGATGGGTATACTGCTCTGCTGCTACAAGAAAGCGGATCTCAGGAGATTTGAAATGTGTATATGGGATTGTAGTCAATGAATACGGTATAGTAGATGGAAAATGGTAGATATTGAAATCAAAACAGAAGAAACTATTTCTGTCCATTTGGGTTGTTAATTAATTGGGAAGATTGGTCGGTCTGATATAGGACTGCAACATTGTCGGGAAGCAAATAGCCAGTAGATGAAATGGAAGCATGCCAAGAGTTTACCGATGGTACTTATATTATAATAAAGTAGTTAGATTTTTTTGTCTTGAACTTTTCACGGCTCAGGTCGTTTGAGGGTTATTGATCCGACGATTCTAATTAGACTTTTATTCCTTTTAAAATTTTAAGACTTTTATTTCTAATATAACTATCTTTCTCTCTCTATCTCATACACTCAACTCTCATACGTATATAATTCTCTCTCTCGCCTTCACAAACATTTTAAACACACACTTTTCAATCTCTCTTTCTCTCTCTATATATAGACGAGATTGAATGAATGTCTAATTAGAATCGTCAAGACAAACAATATTATCTCATACTTTCTCTCTTAACATTATTTATTTATCTTGACGATTCTAATTGAACTTATTTACTCAAAACATTTGTATGATTGTATAGATGAGAAAATATTTAAATATTAAAAAAAAATTTCAGGGTGTAGATATTCAAAGTCAAGCTAATCCCTAATAAAAAAAAAATTCAAAGCCAAACTAATTAACAACAAAAAATAACAAGTGATCAATTGTACCAAAAAAATAAAAAAATTCAAAGTCAAGCTAATCACTAATAAAAAATAACAAGTAATATCAATGACCAATAAAAAAATAAGTGAAACTAATTGCACAAAAGCAAAAAAAAAAAATCTAAACCAATTATCAATTTTTTTTTCCTTATTTGCATCGCTTTCCCCTTACTAATGTTCATATTTTTTAAATACTTAAATAGTGCGAAATAGACACCGAAACAAAAAAATGTCAGTTAAATCATTTTTTTTAAATGAGTGAAATTTTGATTTTGTTAATTTTGTTTAATTGCAGCGTGAGAATATTTCTGTAGCATTCAAAAAGTCATCGTAACAGATAATTTAAATCAATTGTCGTTGCAGTTACAAGCATATTTGTTGAACAATGTTAGTTCAAGTAGGCTTTTTATTTTTTTTTTTGGGGGGGGGGGGGGGGGAAATTTGATTTGTAGTTCAATGTGAACTAGACAATTTATTCATTAGATTTAACAAGAGGTTAAAAAATGAACACTCATTAGAAAGAAAAGTCGCAATGAAGAAATATATGGCAGAATAATTTTGTAATAGTGTTAATTTAAGTTCATAGGGATTTTCGAATTTTATTAACATGATATGATTTTTTCATTTCAATCATTGCACTTTTTTTATTTAAGACATTATTGAATACCGCATTTGCTTGACAATTTTTTTGTGTTAAAGGTGTCTTTAGACATGAGTAATGACTAGTGATGGGGTCTCGAAAATCACAGCCCAAGGCTAACGTAAGTGAAGTTATTGGGTTTGGTGTCAGAGCGAGTTTAGTTGGTTGGACTATCTAATCAAAGCAGAAAAGAAGAAGATAAGTGGTTTGTCTCAGTCGATAGATCGAGGGTACGTCCATTGTAATGGAATCTCTTGCTCCTTAATATTGTATATTAAAGCTCTGATGTACACAGACGGGATTCAGGCGCTGGGCCTTTACAGGAGTTGGAATTTTGCTTATAGTATGGACTCGGTTTCTCAATGCTCTCTTTCTTGGGGATCTCCATTTTTGTAGGGTACTGTTCTATTTATATATGAGTCGTCTTTTTTTTTGTGATTTCTGGCAATTTCTTCTACCTTTTATTGATCCTGTGGGGACCTCCTGTCATTGGCCTGCAAAAAGCCTTTTCCAGCCGGCACCACTGTATCCACGATCTCTAGGGCGTTATGTTCCACCTTCTTCTGCCCGCTGGAAGATGTAGCCATCGCAGGTTTCAAAGATAGTCCCCCTGTCCTCTGGACGCGTGGCACGGCGGGTCGACTCCTAGGCAGAGATCCGATTTCTCTTCTTCAAACTATTTTTTAGCTGGTACCTGATTGGGCTGGATTTGGACCACTGCCCCTCAGGTGTCCTTTGGGGCTCGTCCTTTCAGCTCTCTTTCTTGGGTTAGTAGGAGGCACTCCCGGTTGGGCCAATGGACTTTTCCTCCTGTTCCTCATGATTTTTTGGGCTTCGAACTTGTTGGTGGCCCATGCTCAGAATTTTACCCTTATCAACTAGTACTTGAATATGCTATTTCACGTGCATGCTAGATTTTAAGAGTGTGTTTGATATAACTTAAGAAAAAGTATCTAGAATTTTACCCTTATCAACTAGTACTTGAATATGCTATTTCACATGCATACTAGATTTTAAGAGTGTGTTTGACATGACTTAAAAAAAAGTATTTTTGAAACTTTTAACTTATGAAAAATTTTTTTTTTTTGAAGTAATGTTTGGCTTAACTAATTAAAAACACAAGTAAAAGTAATTTTAACACTTAAATAAGTTATAAAAAAAGTAAAAATAATTAACTTTTACTTTTAAAAATCACTTCTCATTTTCTCCTCACTTCTCCAATCACCTCTATGACCATCACCAATCTGTCAGTAAAGGTAAAGCTTCTGAAGCCAACCCTGACGTCAATGACGAGAATACGAAGAAATTGAAGAGGAAGTGGAGGTAGAAGTAGAAGAAGAGCTCGAATAGTCTGAAAGTAATTCATTGCTTCCATAATTCATAATTCGAATAGTTGGTCCCGCCCAACAGATGAATAAAAGAAAACTAGAGTGGCTGAGTAATTTATTATACAACAAGTTTTTGATGCTTGTGTTCATAACATTGATCTTCCAAAGAATGAAAATAAAATATTTTGTATTGATTGCAATCTTTGCTGTTGTAAGCACTGCATCTCTTCTGTGACTCATTGTCTTCACCGATATCTTCGAATCTAGAAGTGCACATATCAAGATGTTGTTCGATTTGAAGAGATGCAGAAACGTATTGATTACTCCAAAATTCAAGTCAGTACATCTCTATTTTCTCTCTCGTGCATGTTCAACTATACAAACTTGTTTATTTGTCAATCTGATCTGAATTCCACATGTTGATCATGAGTAATTTGTTACTCTAAACATATCAGTAAAATTCTTTATTAATAATAGTTGTTAGACTATAGCCATTTGTTAATTTTACTTCCATAATTCATTGCTCTTTCTCACATTTAAGTTTTAGCAAAACTGGACAGTTTGATAGAATGCCCACCAACTATTTGATAAAATGACTTACATGTGCTATGAATTTTTTCTTATATTTGGGGTTGTTAGTTTTCGTGTGTTGTAAAACAGTGGAGAATAGTGTAAAAGTACTAGGATATGGTCATTGGTATCTCATGGTTACCTTTTCATTTTTTGTGAATTTATGTAAATATTTGATAAATTACCACTAAAAATGTATTATGGGATAACTATTGACATTTTTAATAAAATACATGCACACAACACACACACACACACACACACATATATATATATATATTTGATTATGAAGGGCATATTTGTAATTTTGATACAAATAAATACTTTTTTAATTGATCATCCAAATACAATTTTTGTAAAATCATTTTTATTTAAGTACTTTTTTTAATGAGCATTCAAACGATGTTTATGAAAAAAAGTATTTTTTTAAAAAGTAATTATTCAAGATGTACTTTTGAATTTATTAAGTCATCCCAAACACGCTCAAAGTCTAACACATTAATTTTTTTTTTAATAATTAGGGTGAAAATGAGATTTGAATGCAAATATGACAGTTAAAAAATTTGAATTCTCTATAAATCACAAGTTTCATAAACAAGTAGATTCAACATAACATGATTAATAAATGAATCTTAAAAGAACAAAGTTAATAAAAAATACACAAACGATACAATTAATTATTAGTTATATATAATTTATCCACGATATAAATTAGAAAAGACATAATTTGTTGAATTTATAAATAAAATATTTATTTGACACCAACTTATTAAAATTCGGCATGAATTCGCCTCCACGATCGTAAGATGTAATACGGTAGCACAAAATTTTTATCTGCAAAGGTCAAATTTGTAACCTCACCCAACATAATCCTCCCATTTTCCTATCACTTCAGTCATCCCTGGCCAAGCTTGGCAGCTTCTTCACCAAGCAAAAGGATCTCAAACACGGCGACTGAACCCCCCCCCCCCCCCCCCCCCCCCCCTTCCATGGCGGCTGAAACCTGAAAAAGGAACCCAAGAGTCTTCAAACCCTACCTAAATGGCCTTCATGTCCACATGCTTTACTGTAACTACCAAGTCTCATTCCATCGTCTTCTCATCAAAACCCTCAATCTTACTAAAGCCTTCTCAATTCCACACTTTGCCGTCACAAACCCCATTAAATCTCAGTAGGACATCAAATTTTCGTTGCAGTAAAGGATTTGGCCATGTAATTAGGGCGAGTGTCGATGTTTCGACTTCCGCGGTAAAGCCAGGAGGTACGGTCGAGAGCGATAAACTGCCGTCAGATGTTCGGAAGAGAGCGATGGATGCTGTTGATGCGTGTGGAGGTAGGGTCACCATTGGCGATGTGGCAGGCAAAGCTGGGCTCAAGTTGAACGAAGCGCAAAAGGCTTTGCAGGCTCTTGCTGCTGATACTAATGGCTTCTTGGAGGTACTTGTTTGAAATTACTGAGTGCATGAGTGTTGATATTTTTTTTATTGATAAGTGGCACTCTGAATTGGGGGGTGGGAGGGGATTGTTGATTACTAGAAATGTATAGATTTTATGAATTTTGTGCACAAATAAGTAAATATTTGTTGTGCTTTTGTGTAATTAGGGTTGAATATAGTAGGTGTTGTTGCCCTTTATTTTTGTTTAGGCGCTTCATAAAGATGGATTGCTTCATTGTGCTTTTAGCTCTTCTCTAGTGATGAAATGTGTCGTCAGAATGGTTGGTTCTGACAGGAATAATTGTGAAAATTTGGAACATCGACATTTTTGTGAAGTTTCAATTTTTGATTCCTGATCATTTTCTTATACTTTTTCTGTAGTTCTACTCTCTATGACTGGATCATTTAAGAGCCATTTAGGAATTCTTGCAGTTCATTGTTTAAGTTTAACTGGAAAATACACATGTCCTATTTTTATTAACTTACTCTTTGAAGTCCTTGATTTTTTGAGTGCAATCGTTTTCAAGATGGTTTCGACAGGTATCAGACGAAGGTGATGTTCTATATGTTTTTCCGAAGAATTATCGCTCAAACCTTACTGCCAAGTCTTTTAAGATTAAAATTGAGCCTTTGTTGGAAAAAGGGAAGGTATTTGTCCTTGTTATTTCATGTCGACACCTTTTCTTTATGGTCCAAACTGTTAATGCACAAAACTTGTTTCTCTTACCAAATGAAAATTTCTTTCACAGTTGGCAGCTGAGTATGTGGTGAGGGTTTCCTTCGGAACAGCATTAATTGCTTCTATTGTCATTGTTTATACCACAATCATTGCTATCCTCTCAAGTAGAAGGTATTTATTGATCTTGATCCTACAAATCCTCATGTCATTGTTCTGATTTGAATTTTCCTTCTACCTGATATCGAGAATTATTATGATTGTCATTGTATGCAATAGAAATGCATTGACAATGACATTGAGTTCATATTCTCTTCTCGCAACAGTGATGAAGACAATCGTGGAAGACGCGGAGGCAGATCTTATGATACGGGTTTCAATTTTTACTTCAGTCCAACTGATTTGTTTTGGTAATACATCTGACTGATATAATCTTGGATTTTTTTTTTGAAACCTTGACTGTTTGTAAATTTGATGAAAGTCCAGGGTTGTGGGCTAAGAAGTATTACTTGTCAGCCTACCAGATGGTCCCTTGACCCTGGAAATTCAGAGATATACAAAGTGGATACATATGAAGTAATGTGGTTATGAGATCTTCTTATATATCATATGCAACTGGGCTTTGAGATGTGCCTAGTTACTTAGTCCTGTGTAGCTTGATTTATGATGCCAATTGAGTTACCAAGAAAGATCTGCATTGCTATTCTTTACCTGTTCTTCTAATGACATGTTTTTTGGAATGAAGACCAAAATAAATGAATGAGTACTTGATCTACATATTTTTGCGTGCAACAAATAGGAAGGGAAACTATGTTGGCCACTAAGAGTATGTTTTTCCAGTGAGGGCATTGATAGTTTTGAGTGTCAGTTTTTTGGATTTGGTGCTTAAGGGCAACTAGGCATGAAATGATATTTTGGCACTGGTTATTCTTCTAACCAGATGACTGAATAACAAAGCAGGATGATCTGTTTCATCATTCCTCTTTTGGGAGTTTTTGTTTGTTGTATGTTCAGGAATCTATTTAGGAGCATGCAATATTGTCCCAATGTCCAGTTTTGTGCTGTTATGTTAGACCTATTTGCTGTTGGTGGACCCCGGTGAGTATTCACATGTGACTGGTGCAATTCCCTTCTTCCTCTCCCTGGTCTCATTATTCCTTAACTGGGAGTTAAAGCGTTGAATTGGGTAAGCCCAAGTCTGTAAGGATCAAGTTCATATGCAAGTGTGATCTAGCAGTGGTCTCCAGCTCAGTCTCGTATCAGGGGCCAGCCTGAAAGCTTACCAGATTCTCAGTAACTCTATCATGATATTATTCCATGCCAAATGATTGGATTAGGAACTATAATGTCTGAGGCAGTACACAGCTATTCATGTAGTCTTCTACCCTCATTTATGATATGATAGCCTGAAGTCTCTTAGGAACTTTAGATGTAATGGTGGAAGTGCATAGTGTAGTGTACAAGGCTCCATTGATCTTACTCCAATCGGCAATTGTCTGGATGGAGAGGCTTTTTATGCCCTCGCCTTTGAGAGCCACTCATCCCTCCACTCCTCTGCTCTTAGCCAGATACCATCTGACCTAGCAAAAAAAAAAAAAAAGTGTAATTATGGTTGTTTTATCTCATTAAGTATTTGTTTTAGGTACTGGGATCCATATTATTATAGGAGGCGACGAGTACGAAAAGATGATGGTGGGATGAACTTCATTGAATCTGTAAGAGAAAAAATCCTGATGGCTTTTTACATTTTCCTGGTTGCTTCTGAAATCTGAAACATATCAACTTAGTGAAGGTCTGTTTTGTAGGTTTTCTCATTTGTATTTGGGGATGGTGATCCAAATCAAGGTATTGAAGAAGAGAGGTGGAAGTTGGTAATAATTGAGCACTGAATTCAGTGGTCCGTTGCTTTCAAATTTTTTATTTCAACCTATTGGTTCCATGTAGCTAATAACACCAATGATGCATTTTACTATTTTTAGCATTGATTGTTTACTATTCTCCGGTTGGACGACTTGTACACCTTAACATGTATTGTCTACTTATCTGTAAAATAGCCATCATGCTTATAGATCCTACTATTTCCATATTGTTGGAAAGCTGCATCTTTCATGTTCTTTCCTTCCTATCACTGTTGAACACATGAATTTTCATGGCAATGAAGAGCACCCCCTAAAAAATAAAATAATAATAGTAATATTGATTTATTGACAGTTGCCACCATTATTTGTATAAGGTGTCTTCAGACTCATTATTCAAGTACAAGGTGCCACCATATTACTTATTTATCATGTTCTGCTGTAAGGAAGACATTGACACTGCTAGAGACATTCAACCGGAAAACACTTGAGCCTAGTCTACTTGAGCCCAAGCCCGGTTTCGAGCAAGATAATGCCTTGTTGAGTGCATACTGGAATTTATTAAAGAATGGTCCGAGATGCTATGGTGACATTGTGAAAGCATTTAAAAAGAGAGAGTTGTGGTTCAGTGTATAATAACTAGTGGTACCAGAGTAGGCAGTGGTGCAGCCATATAATGTATCAATGTCATCTTTGTGTGGGGCCTCTAGGATAAATAATAAACAGCAGTGCCCTACATTGAATATTGATATTTGATACTGTTTTAAGTTTCTGAGAGCATTGATCTCTATGTGACAGTTTTGAGATAAGGTCATTTACTCACTTGGTATGTGTTGACATGAATTACTGGTGTGCATACTACAACTCACAGGGCATCTGTGTTGTGATATTGCTTACCAAACAAAAACAAAGACATTGATATTGAACTGTTACCTGTGGACACATTAAGCTGTTGTGATCTGGTGTAGTGATTGATTGTTGTGACCAAATCTTCCTGCAGGAGTAGGTATAATCAGAGGTCCATTTAGACAACAGCCCAAGTAGTAAATAGATTTCATGAATATCAGCGCATTCTGTCAATTGGCCATATATAGAAGACAAGAGGCATGATGGATGATTAGAAGATGCTTATTGATTTGGGCAAATGCTCGACTGCACTTCTCTATCAAAGATGCTTTGCTTCTGTGAACTTGCGTGCCAACAAATTTGAGATAGCTAGTTTGATGTAGATTTCAGTATATAGCTTTAAATTTGAATGATAAACAATATATTTGAGGTCCTGGGAAACCATGAAGGTACATCGTCAATGTTTAAAAAAGCTTTATATTAGCAAAAATAGGATATTAGGTTTACAACATGCAGCTGCAAAAAAAAAACGAAGAAGGGATGGTGTTGAGATAGGAATTGAGAAGAGAGAGGCTCGTGGAATCTGACCCCAAACAAAGTTCAACCGAAACTATTCAATGCTGATTAATGAGTATTAGCATTGTTAAAAAATAGTACATTTCGATGTTCCTTAGTTTTTGGGTCTGCCCTGTGCTAAATCTGGCACACATTGATTGGGTTTAGTAGGCATCATGGTTCATTCGAATTTGTGCTAACATCTCATTTTTGAATTATCGGTATGTAAGAATACATGTTTTTTTTTCCATTTTTATGTGGTTTTTTGTGTCTCAATTGCTACCAAATATTGGATTCACCCTATCATGGAACCAGAATTGTCTACTCTGAGATACTTTAGTCAACTTGATTCAACTTGTGCAGTATACGTCCTTGTTCTTTTATGTAATAGGTTTTCATCTTCAATTTAATTTCTGTATTTTGAGTTCATAACTTTTGCTTTCATGCCCTTGTATGCGTGAGCAATTTGTAAGTTGTTATAAATAAGGATTTAGTCATTTTTTGAGATCCTATTTGCAGATTGGACAATACATAACATCAAATGGCGGTGTTGTTACAGCTGAAGAACTTGCTCCATATCTTGATGTAGAAATGGCAGAGAAAATGGTAACTTTGTACTGGACATAACCTACTGTGTTGCAAAAGTATTGCTTTGGTACATAATATCCATGGGCATGGTTAATTTCGTTGTCATGTGGACTTGGGGTTTGTCTCTATATCTGGATTGTGCTTGTTCTAATTATCTTCTCATATTTTATTGTTTTTGGCTTGTAGTTTGTACACACATTCAGTATTTGTCTACGGTTAATTATGTTGCTCTGTTGTTATCTGCAATTATGATACATATGTAAATATTTGTAATCCATCTATTTTTTTGAGCCAGTTAATTTAAGCACCGACTTTCTATTGAGTAATTGAATTTTTAAAACCTTAATGTTCAATATTATCCATCGATGGAAGTTCTTTCACTATTCATTGTTGTTTCCTTGTCTGTTCCAGAATGATGACTCATTCATACTACCTGTGCTTTTGCGGTTTGACGGTCAGCCAGAAGTGGATGAGGAGGTCCGTTCAACATACTTGCAGTAACATAACTAAATTTTGGTTATCATTTATCGAATTTATTGGTCTTGCTTTTAAGCACCTTTTGTGCATTCTCGTATTCAAAGCCTATTTTCCTTTGAATACTGCCACATGGTATTGTCAGAGAGTAATGGGTGTGTGGAAGTAATTGTCTCACAAGTCACAACCACATAAAATACAAAAATGTGAAGCATGCATTCCTTCTTTAGTTTCATTTCCTGAAGTTGGATGAAATGTGGTAAAACATTTTGATTTTTCTGTTGCTCCATATAAGAATTTCTGACTTTCATTTGAGAAAGTGTAATTTAGCTTGAAAGGAAGGCATCTCACACTTGTTTAGAACTTAACCTTACTTCATATTTCCCCCTAAGACATGATGTTTAATAGATTGCATTTTAACCCCAATTTTTGAAAGCTTGAGGTAAGAAAATTTTTTCAACCTGTCTTCCTTCCCTTCCCAAAATTTTCCTTCTTTATTTTCATATCCTTCTTTGACTTCTGCTGAAGGAATACCTTTTATCATTTTTTTTTTTTCTATTCCTTTGTGCCAAACTGATTTTTGTGCAGGGAAATATTCTGTACCGGTTTCCATCACTACAACGTACAGCTGGTCCACAGAGGAGTGGAAGGAAGGAATATGTTGGTAGAAGATGGGCTGATTGGGTTGGAGGGATTGAGAAGTTTTTTAGGGAGAAGAAATGGCAGTTCAGGTATTCTGTTGGAATAAGTTCCTGTCATTGATGTGGATAAGTTTCATATGCATGTCATTTCCTGATATGAGTAAGCTTTCACTTTTCATGATGCAGTAAAACTAGCAGTTCAGAGAGGGCAATGGTCATTGGTTTGGGTGGGCTTAATCTCTTTGGAGTTATTATTCTTGGTACCATGTTGAAGTATGGTTCTACTAGTTTCGCTTCTTAGCTAAGAACTTTTCCGTTATAACTTTCTGACATCTCTGCTTGAATTCTATCTTGAAGGAATATGACAGTTACACCAAGCGGATTTATCACATTTGTGTCTGAAATATTTCCTCTACTTCAGGTGTGTTTGACTTTCCACTCCCTGATGTATTCATTGCTTTGTATGCTTGGGTGGATTCAGTTGTGATGACTTTTTATTTTCTGGTTCCTAATTTTATAATCCAACCCACTAATGCACTTCGTAATACCGTCGAAGTTCAATCATAGTTTCAGTCTTTCAGGTAAAAATTAAGATGCCTGGAATTTCTTTACGGTAACTGAATAGTTCCTGGCTGATTGTCTGTCTGATAAAACATGTCTTTTTACTATATTTGTCTGTATATTAGAGTGTTTTTGAAGTCCAAAGAGAAAATAATTGGCACAAAATAATCGTATTTGTTGGGTGTGAAATTGACTGTTCAAGAAGTTAGACCTGGAGCAATTACAAGTGTTTATCTGTCCAAGCGATATATCCTAGGTTCAAGTCCAGGAGTCAGCCTCCTAAAAAGGGATAAGGTTGTATATCCCTTCTCTGTCTCTAACCCTACAATAGGTGGGAGCCTTGTACACTAGGTATGACCTTTAATTCTGTGTCTGCGGTGAAGTTGTTATTGGACTTGGTCACAATAACCTTCTTTTGAGGTATTAGGAAGTGGTGATTTATGATTCAACTGAACAGTGGCATGGTAGAGAGAATAGTGAAAAGAAGTTGATATATTTGACTGCAAATATTTGGAACAAGGCTTTGTTAAGAGTTGAGTGCACTGTTTACTCAAGTTCTAGTCAAATTAGGCAAAAAAAAAATTGTGTAATTGCATGTCTAAAGTGAGTTGGTAACTACGGTATTGATTATTGACAGAAACCAACAAAATGGACTTTCGCTTGTTCAATAACATTCAGCTTTTTATCAAGTGGTCTTGGATTTGTTTTCTGCAGCAGTTGGCTAATTAGAGGAGAAACTTTGGTTCTTATTTCTATAACTTTGCTAATCTTATGCTGAAGGATTCAAGCTTGTTGCTTTTATTAGAGAACTCAATTGTCTATCAAACCCTATATCCAAAAGTATACTTCCTAAGCATCAATCATTCCTCACAAAGGCTAGATTGCAGCACAAGAACTCTGTTATGCTTTTACTTGCAGTTGTTTCAATTCGTGTTACATAATATTTTAAAATTGACCCTGCAGATCTATGCTGGTTCTTTTTTTGCAATTCCTTTGGTCCGGTGGTTCTTTGTCCGCAAGACCAATGCTGGAATAGAAAAGAGGAACCAAGCAAGAGAACTACGTGCCCAGGCACTTGAATTGCCAGATCTCTCTCTAAGGCGGAAGGTAAACATTAGCGGCCCAACCAGAGCATGCTTCCCAAGTATTCTTACTTCAACTTCTTAATGCTTTATTATCTCTCAGACGAAATCCAGTTCCTTTCGTGTCAGGATATCGTGTACATGGCCTTGAATTAGTCTTTGCTTGAATAGAATTTTGTCTCTCTTAGATTAACCCTCGGATGGACACAACTAACTTGATCTCTAATATGTTCAGCTGCTGAGCGCTCGAGACATGGCCCAGAAGACATTCATTGGTCGGGATCGGATTGTGTATAGTACTGACCGGGACTTGTACGAGCAAGATTACGATGCCAAAGAATGGGATCAGAGATTCAGGGAGATCGAGAAGCCTGATTGAAGAGATCATGTGAATTTGTAATATATTTCTCGTCTAATATATTTTTTTGTGTCAATTGTTGTCAGTCATCGACGAAAATGACTACATTTTGATGATGCTTTGTATGTTTTTGCCCATGAAAGAGCAGTGTAGCGTGTGACGGGATAATTATAATAAAATGCATGCCTTTTCTTTGCCTTTATGTTATGAATTGGTAGAAATATAAATCTGGTTCAAACTGTCATTCAGTTTTCAGGGATTAGAAATTGAAGTACGAGAGTTGCTAGTGTTTTAAACATGAATTTGTATAAATTTACAAATTATTGGCGTGTGCACATAATAAGATTAACTTTTATCTAATTAATAAAATTCTATTTTCAAAACAAAAAACAGTGCCAAATTAATCGCAAACAAAAATTTGCAGGTAGACATATTTTATCCTTATGCTTGAAATATTTATACCTCACGTGTTTTAATTTATGATAAAAAATTAAACAGCAATCTAGGTCAAATCTACAATACTATCAATTCATACCATTAATAGTGCAAATTGAAAATATTTTGTGGAGTGCAAAATAGGATCAGGCCCTTTTCTTTCACCTTTTAAGATCGGGCAAGCCAATTTCAACAAATCCCCCCTCCTGATTTGCCATCTCTCATCGACCTTTTTAAGGAATGAGATTAATGCTTAAAGTAGAGTGGGTTCAGACCTGAGACAATAGGTGCTCATCCATTCAAACAATATGTTGTGAGAGTCGAACTTCTCTAAAATGGAGAAGAGGCAATTCGTCATTTACTTAAAGAAATGAAGCATATCAATAAAAGAAAAGACTAATTATACCATTCACATTTGTTGGATCGGGTTTTGTAACTAGTTTTTTTTTTTTTTTTGGCTAGGAGAAAAAGGTGGGAAGGGGCGACCAGCATAACAACCCCCTTGATGTGACCAAAGGGGTTCCCACCCACTACAAAATAGCCGGTTTGAGGCTTCGTAACTATTTGACAATGTAAATTAATAGTGAATTAGTCAGCCAAGTTTTCTGCACTGCCTTGCTGCTTGCAGAAATTTTTTAAAAAAAAAAAAACACTCCAACACCGTAATACCATAGAGGATGAGACTCTCGACTTCACCCAAACAAATTGCTAGCGCAGATTGTTGCAATCCAACTACGACCAAGTGGTAAATTGAAAACGATGACAATCGATAGAGAAACTGATGCCGACACTTTTGACAATAGCGTAGGACCAAAATATAATATGCTAGGCTTCATGATTTATGGGCAACTGATGGACATCCTCAGTGTAAAATGCCCTTGTAAATAGTCCACTCAAGCTACTAGAGATGCCAGGATACCTGCATGAAGAACACATGCAGCAGCAATTAACGTAATTCCTTTAAAAATACTAGGCAGAGTGAAAGAATAACACAGCTGAAGTCTATGATATCCAGTATCCGCAGAACAAAGTAAACAATTTCATGTACGAAAAGATTTAACAACCAAATCTTCACCAAAAATTTCCACGCTACTTCTAATTCTCTTGATTAAAATTCTTTTCTTAACCTCTAAAATTTTTATCAACATTTGTGCAGTTTATATGGAGAAACATCTAGTCCGGCTTTTTTTTTTTTTTGGTACTTTTATCTTTCCTTATTTGTTTCCCATTAAAATCAAGATTTGGGATATAAAGTTTTGTTTTTTTTGGTGATCTTTACATCTGTTCCTTTTCTTTGGACTGGAGACCTCAAGGATTAGTAAGGGTGAGAGCAAGTGAAAAGAACCAGAAGTGCATTTAGACAAACATAAGTTAGATAATAAAAAAGGCGCACACAAATCTTTAGTACAAACAAATAATTACCCTTAAACTAAAGAAAAGAGTGGAAGGAAATGAAGGCTGGCAAGGAGCATAGGCATCAACAATTTAATTCAAATATAAATTGAATTATGCAAATGTCCATGAATGAGACCTATCTGCTTCCCGTAAGCATCAGATGATCTCATCAAATTTTACATATCTGGACAAAAGTGAAGCCTATTCATCATCGGCCAAAATAATGGGTAAAGGCACCACCTATTAAATAGACTGAGAAACAGGAAATAGAAATTCAATCTAAGAACATGCTTACCTAAAAATATCAATGTCAATAGTATTGCTGATATCAATCTTACAGGACGACAACTGACTTGAGTATGAGATCTTTGATATCTAGCCCAACACTGCTCAAGCCAAGTATGGGAGTGCATGACTCTTGCTAATAAATCTGACCACTGCTGAGGATTGATATATCGGGAAGCGAGCCCTAGTCTTGTAAGAAAACTCTGCAAAGAAAATGCACGTACAAAAATGTGAAACATTTAAAGCACAAAACTAAAAGAGTTAAATAAGCTCATCAAACTTCTCGAGACTCAGATGAGATATTATCCGCAAAGTGTTATGGCAACTATAGATGAAATAAGGAAATATTCACTTCTCCATGCACATTTGTACAAATAATCGGTCGATGGTCATTCATTTGACTTACATTTTGAGTTCTTCCAGGCACTAAAAGCATAATAAAGTCTGTCGTTGAATGGTATTATAACTTCCAATAATTAGATGAATGGAACTTTTGAGTGGATATTTGATCAAGCCAAGTGAATTTTCATGTAGACATATGACCCTGCTACATGAGGAGCTTGTTAACATAATCTTGAATTCAAGCAGTCATCTGCTCTTTGAAGAATCTGTAGACATATATGCCATGCGTGGCTAGATTCCTTACACATGAACAAAGCCTCTCAGAGAAATACCGCTTCTTTCTCCAATTCAAAAAAGGTGCCTTTTTCCCTCTAGAGTCACTTGACAACACCAGCAGCAGTAGCATAGGGTTAAGATCATCCAAAGGGATGATCACATATACCAATAAAAATTGAGACCCTGCCAACATATTTGTGATTACTCTAACATGGGAATGGGATGGCAGAAAGTTAAGACTTGAGGAACACATGCACGATTTGAATGTACAGTACGAATCAAACAAATACTAATGGATTATCACAGAGCATCGGGGACCATACCTGATGATTAGCTAAGTTCAAACAAACCATAATATCAACAATAAAATTTGTCCTTGAGCACTAACACATAACAAATTATACATTCACATATCACAGAAACTGATCCATTTCCTGTGAACGACATAAAAATTGTGCTGCCTCATGAAGGCACTGCTGCAAATTCATTTGATTTTCCATTATGAAATATCACTGTTTAGCTTTTGAACATTCTTTTTCTATCCTCTTTTCTTATTTACTTCAGCAAACATTAATATCACCAACAATCTAAGAACAGCACCATCGCTGTCATCACTGGTTCTTTTCCCCTTACTACAATTAAATAAATTTCATTTATTGACTGTGAAAAAGAGTAAGTTCAGTTTTCTCATTTCGGACAGTTTCTGTTTACATATAATGGCAATACTGAGAACAGATATTATTCCTTTATCTATCTTTTGAATGAATCGAACACTACGTTGTGATTTGAGACAAAGGCCATGGCATTTTTATCATGTGTGCTCAAATATAATTGTCCAATAATGCACAGGAATCGAAATTGAGACACATGCAAGTCTAAAAAAAGAAACTGACATTCATAAAAGACTGTAATCAATATGAACAGAATTCAATTTTTAACAAACATAAAAAAGAATGCTAGTAAAATTTTGCCTAAGCAAATCATTTTAAGTGTCCAGCAGAAGTGACAAGAAATACCTGTGCAGCTTGAGAAACATCAGTGTGTAATGGTGGATGCCTTTGTTCTTCCCCATCTTTCCACCTCTTTGTAAAACTCCTACTGGCCCTATTTCCATATGCAGACAACAAATTCCCCAAGGATCCAAAGACATTCACTTTGCTGTAATAACCTCTAAACTTGTTCTTCTGAAAGAAGCTTCTACATTTGGCCTCATTAGCTTCCAAATCCCAACTCCCCTCTTCATCACATCTGTCAGAAGCAGCCCCTTGAATTAAAGATGGTGCTTCAAGTGCCATTTGTGTGGAATAAAGAGAACCCACCCTCCTTAATTTATTATCCTTTTTATCAAACTTATGGTCTAAATGCACAAACCCATTCATGTTCAAGCTCGTAGTTTCTCGAATATCCTGCTCAACAATCTCGTCATTGAGACTAGATGATGCAGTTGGATCAAGAAACCTTCTCAGTATATTACTGTCTTCCGAGTCAGAGAGTGGTCCATGGTCAACAGGTTTTCCGCCCGAAAGAAACAATGCCAACCCATATCTATCTTGTTCATTCAAGTTTACCCACTCAGAATTCCTTCCTAAGTCTCCTGCCAATATTCCCTCCACGCTTTTCTCCACATTAACTATATGTTCCCTAATGGCTCTGATAAACTGCTTATGTCTTAAAATCACATCTTGCCTCAGTTGAGACTTGTCTGTCATGGCTGACAGATTTACCTCTCTTTCAAAGTCTTCCAGCTGATAAGGACAAGCAAACAATCTAAGAGTACAAAAGAACCCAAAAAAAACAAAAAGCAGCAGCATGAAAGGTAGTAAATACCTGCCATTTTGCTGTTTCAATAGTAGTGACCAGATCACGCCTATGATATTCTACAGAATTAAGTAGCTTTGGCTCTGGATGGTCTCCTTGAACAAGACTTTGCTCATGCAATAGTAGACGAAATATTGATTCCATCCTGAAAGTAAGCCAAAACCCTAAATTATAAAACTGGCTTCAAAACATATACATTAATATTAGCTACTGGCATTCCTCTTTTTCTTTAATAATTATTTTGTCATCCTTTATTTCTTTCTTTTTTTGGTGGATGTGGGGGGGGTTGGCAATTGAGCTCCTACTCCTACCACTCAGTTCTTATATTTCCTATTGATGATAGTAGAGGCAAGGAACAAATTTTCATTTCTCTTCCACCGAGACCTCCGTTTCCATGTACACCTGAAATGTAAATCGAAACAGCCAATGTTTTGGATATAAATATTCAAAATTTTCCTCAGTTTCTATTTTGTCACCGATATATTTTCGAACCATTTACAAAACCTTTAAGTTTTCGAGCTTACCGAAACTATAACAATTTTTTTGATGCTTGACTATAGGTAATTAAAATAGAAGAGGTGAATGAAAGGACGAAATCACTGTGTGAACATTTTGAATTCAGTTTCTAAAAAATTCATCTGATTTCGTTTCATCACCTAAATTTGAAATTGCGAGTTGTAAGAAGATAACTTACCTGTCGGTGGAATCTTGAACCACTTCGGCCGCCGAGAACAGAGGGTCCGATTCCCATTGCTGCAAACTCAACGCCATTGCCTTGATTAAATAATTAAATGGTAATATTTGACAAGTATTCTAGGGTTTAGAGGTAAAGGAAAAGAACAATTAGGATGCTCCAAATTGAAAAGGAATGGAGAGAGAGAGAGAGAGAGAGAGAGAGCTCTGTGTCGTCGTCGTCTTCGATTTAGATGAAAGAGAGAAGTGACGGAAAGTAGAAGGAATCAGGCTTGAGAGAGCCAGCAATGTCGAATCGTCTCGCTAATCAACTGTCAGCCTCAGTTTACATTTTTTCTCAATTTTTTTTTTATTGGACCCGGGGTGCGAAAAATTACGGTTTAAAAAATTTCGCAAGAAAATAGGGTTAAAAATGTCGTCTATAATTGTTTAGGATGTTCTTTAAAAAATTGAAAAAAACAAATTTGAACAAAAAAAGTTAAAAAAAATTAAAAAAAAAATGACATTTTAGTTTTTTTATATTAATAAAAAAATAATTATATATATACAATAAATTAAAAAATTATGTGGGACCATGATAAAATTTTAAAAAGTTGAAAAAAAAGTTAATAAAATTAATTTTTTAAATCAGTCTAAATAAATTTTTTGGGTTCATAAAATTGTTACATAAGCTAAAAAAAAAAGTCAAGATTCAAACGGACATAATTTATTTTACTCCAATGAGAGTTATTTTGATAATAGTATTTAGGTTAGCTTATAGCATTCAAAATAATTTTCAAATTTCAATTCGTGGTGGTTGAATGTACAGCTCATTTCTATCTCTATTATACCTTTTAGTGGGCAATGTTATAGCACTTATGGTATGTTTGTTTTGATGGAAAATGGGGTGGATGAAAAAACTTTTCATTGTTCGGTACGAAAAAAAAGAGTAATGGAAAAGAAAATTAGAGGGAAGGCTTTTCCTTCCCGCGCCACAATTTATTTTCTCCCAAAAAATGGGCGGAAAATAAGAAGAAGCCAACAAATTTTGACATTTGAATGATAATTTTACTATTTTGCCCTTTGTTATCTTTTAATAAAAGTATAAAACCCACTTCTCAAGACAACAAACAAAACCCACTTCTCCATGGACAACGACACACCCTTCTTAGACAATGACAACCAGACGACGAACTCGATCGATAAAATCAACAATTTTTGGACTAGATTTTCGGTTACTTTAAACCAAAGTTGCCATCCTCCAGCAGGCTTGGTATGTTCCTTTTTCCATTTAACTTTATCCTGTAACTGTAAAACTAGAAGTGTTTTCCTTCATTAAGGCCTCTGTTGGACCCTAGTATATATATATGAAACATGTTGGTTTATACATGATGAAATTATACATATATTAGTGTATATATGTGGGTATGTTTATATATGTATTTGGATGTGTAAGTCTTTCAAATGAGTTTTGTATCTCTTAAAGAAATTAACAAAAAAGAAGAAGAAGAAGAAGAAAAGCAGAATTGGGCGTTAGATAGAAGAAGATGGAGTTGTTGGCTTAAATTCAGAAACTGTCCACTCTAGTTTTAGATACAACATATACCTACTTACTTACTGAAATTATAAAGTTAAGTCTAAGGTTTTGTTAAGTTACAAAAAGTCCCTTTTGTGTTTCATGAGTAACAGATAAGTACCTATTGAAATTACACAATCACCCCAGAAAATAATAAAACACTAAATCAGTATTTTTAATAGTTAGAAAATGTTTCTGAAATTGTATATTAACCCCGAACAGTTATGAGATTGTTTTAGAGATTATAAAATTCCACCATATCGCTAGATCATGTGTTTAGAAATTATCTAAATACCCCGGAAGTTTCTAAAACTCACAATATAGAGGCTATCATAAATTGTTAGCTCTTTAGGAGTATATTCCTGGGTGATACATATATATATTGTAAACTCTTTTTGGTTCAATACCATTTTAACTATTATTGTTGTTCAATACTTAATTCCATTTGTTGGTTTTTTATACATATTTTTTGTGTCTGTTATGTTATTACTTTACCAACATTCATTTTTATTCCTGCTTCTTAGCACCAATGTCTATTTGTTGATTATTTCGCGTTCAAATTCAATGTTCAATTTTTTTTAGTTGCACCGTACTTTCAAGCACTGGTTATCCCTAGTATATATATAAACTGGATAACGTATCTTTACCCCGGTCTTAGCAAGAGATTGTAAGATTCTTTGTTTGCTATATTTATCAAATGTTAGATTAAACTATAATATTGCATACTTTGGGTAATCGGTTTGGATTTGAGTCTTTGACATTATTAGTACCTTAGTAGAAGTTTCAAGTAATTATGTGCTTTGTTGATATTCTGATGAGTTGATATGTGAAGTTCATAGCTATTAATTACTTGAGTATTGATTTGTGAAGTTCATGGCTATTAACTTCCTGGAGGTTTCAAGTAATTTTTTTTTTTTCCGTTGGCTTACTGTTATCTATGGTTTTGTTAAGAAGGCTTACTAGATTTTTGCAAAGAAAATTGCAATTGATCTGCGTTCTTCCCTAGTTTATCCATACTAACTTTTCTAAAGTAATTGGTTGTGGGTATTCTTAGATTAACTGGTACTTTTACATTGCTATGGTGCACTGTTTTGTGATTGGTTTCTTTGGGCTTTTTGAGGTCCCAGACCTGGAGAAAGAAAAAGACAATTGATATACAAGGCCTTGCCCAATTGAGAACTAAAACATATTGGACAATTGCTAAAATGTGATAATTAAAAATCAATTTCTAGACTGCCAAATTGTGTACAAAAAATTCTTTGTCTCTTCTGTCATCAAAATTTTCTTCTAATTCCTTCATTTCAATCAATGAAGATTGTACTCGCAACCACAAATAATAATGATGTACATCCCAAAACTATTTTCATATTTTGTATCTCAATTTGATGTAGATGGTTGAACAGTTAAATTCATACACTCTCTAGTACAAGTCTTGTAACCAATTTTTTTCTACAATTTTAAACCTTACAATAGAATTGTGAGATTTTAGGAATTCTTGCTGACTAATTGTTGTTTTGTTACCATGCATTTAGTATATGGATAGGGGAAGAGAGTTGGGAAGGAAACTTGGAAGAAAATGGGGAAGATATTTGGGAGGATAATCTTATGCAAATTTTAAATATTTGGGAACATAGGCGACGCGTGGCTGCGGTTCAAGTTGTTTGCTATTTGGTTCATGTTCTCTACTTGATTGGAATGTCGTGCCACACCTCATACGTAGATCGATCAATTACCCAAAGTAGTGGAGAAAGAGAGAGTGCAAGGCAAGAACTCATGACACAACTAACTCGTACAGAACATTGTCGTGACATCACCCGCATGAGCCCACATGCTTTTGCTAAGTTGTGTGAATTACTCAGATGCACAGGTCGTCTCCATGATAATAAGAATGCTCTTGTTGAGGAACAGGTGGTTAAGTTTCTTTATTTACTTGCACATAAGGTAACAAATCGGGAAATGCAACTATTTTTTCGTCGATCTGGTGTGACAATTAGTCGACACTTCCATGATGTGTTAAGAACTATCATTACTTTGGAAGATCAATTTCTAAAACAACCTACCAATTCAGAGGTCCCCTCTCCAAATTATAAATAATAACAGATTTTTTCCATACTTCAAGGTGAATATAATCTTTTCCCCTTTTCCTTATAAGAAATCGATCTTAATACATTAGATTTTAAAAAAAATTTATACGTTTCAGGATTGTATTGGTGCAATTGATGGGACACACATACGTGTGAAAGTATCTGAAGTTGATGTACCGAGATATCGAGGAAGAAAAAATCATCCAACTCAAAATGTATTGGCAGTATGTTCTTTCGATATGACATTTACATATATTTTGCCAAGATGAGATGGAACTGTATCTGACTCAAGAATATTAAAAAATGCTTTAACTAGAGAAGACAAACTCATAATTCCTCGAGGTAATTAGTTTATAACCATATAAGATTTGAAAATTTAATCATATTTATTAAAACCCTTACTAAATATCTTTTTGGATTTTAGGAAAATTTTATCTTGTGGATGGAGATTACATGTTAAAAAGTGGTCTTATTGCTCCATATAGAGGTGTGTGTTATCACTTGAAAGAATTCTCCTCACGTGCTCTAGAAAATCCTCAAGAATTCTTTAATCATTGGTATTCTTCCCTATGCAATGTAGTTGAGAGAGCATTTGGAGTGCTAAAAAATGCTTTCCCATTATTGGGACTGGTTCAGAAGCTTATTACCCAGTCAATACAGTTACTGAAATTATTTTACCTTATTGTATCCTACATAACTATCTTATGGGAGTTGATCCCGATGAAAGGTTGATTGTAGAGGTTGATAACGAGCTCATGAATGATGAGGTGCACATTGAAGATGCGATTGGGACAACTAATGATGATGTCGATGCTAGGCGAGGAACACTTGTTAGGGACCCTATGGCTTCTAGCATGTGGTAGGACAACATTTCCCATAGGCCGTGATCCATTTATTTTGGTTGTCCTTTAGTTTTAATTTGAAGTTATTGATGATGTTATCACATGACCACTTATTATGTTCTTGAAATTTTTATTATGTTTTGGGAAATTTTTGTTGCAAAATTCATTTTATCTATTTTCTTCTTTTGTTGATAGTATTTGGAGTTTTAAATTGTACAATCGTAGAAATTATTGTGATGAGAAATTAATTTTATTAAACATATCTTGTTATATTATGCAGTGTCTCATGGGAAAGAAATCAAAGAAAAATTGCGATGTTGATGAGATAAAAAAGGATAACGTGATATGGAATGAATATTGCGATGAAGTTTTAATTGATGCCTTGTTAGAAGAACAATTGAAAGGAAATAGACCCAATGGAACATGGTCAACCACTGTCTTTACTAACGTTTTGAAAACGCTTAATGAAAAGCTTAAATTTTCATTTGTGAAGGACCATGTGAAAAATTGCATGAAAACTCTCAAGAGTAATTTTTTTGTATGTCATGAAATTTTCAATGGCTTAACAATGAGTGGGTTTGCATGGAATCCGGAGACACAACTATGGGAAGTGGAGAATGAAGTGTGGAAAAGGCTTATATAAGTATATTATTAACTATTTAGTAATTTTAATATGGTTGCAGATATATAAATTTTCTATGTTTGTTATTGTTTTTTCTCATATATGCATTTGTTATTGTTTTTCTCATATATGCATTTGATTTTTGTTATAGGCTAAACCAAGTGCCGCAAAATGGAGGCATAATAAAATTTGTCACTATGACAAGCTATATGATCTCTTTGCAAAGGACAATGCTACGAGGGAAGGAGCCGTGAGTGCAAAAGAAAAAGTTCGTCAATGGGAAAGAGAGAGAAGTGCTAATTTAATTGATCTTAATGATAGTGTTGATGAATTTAGCTTGAACTTTGAACCAATTTCTCCTTCTACACCTTTTCAAGTAAGCTCTCAAAATGTTGCCACATCCAAAAGTTCCAAACGAAAGGCAAATATGTTAGATGTGATGGATAGACATATTGAACTCATAAATAGTGGAATTAATAATGTGGCACAGGCAATGAAGGAGGGAAATGTTATTGCGGAAAAGGGAAAAGCTATTGTAGAGAGAGCTAGACCACGTTGTTATCCCGAGAGGATGTATTTGCTGAATTGGTAGAAATTGGAGTTCCAAACTTGCTTCAGCTTGATGCATACCTATTCTTGATTAAGAACCAGGCAAACATGAGAGCATTTTTTGTTGTCCCATCAAACCGTCGTTTGGAGGCTCTTGAACAAATTGATGAGTGAACAACTGGCTCTTGAACAACTAAGTGATCTAGATAGCTTTTGAGATGTGTATCTACTTACTATATGTATGCATTTTGGATGATACATGTTGATAATCATACTTTTTTGTGCTAATATTAACATAAGCATGAACCTTATAATGTTGTTGGTATTTTGCAAAGTATTCTTCAGCTGGACTGTTCGTGTTACTATTTATTACACATTCAGCTGGTTTCTTTTAGCTCATGCCTGGGATTTCGTCACTCTGTTAGCTTATTTTCTTCTCCTTTAGTTGCCAATTCAAGTTGGAATTTTGTGATCCTTTTCCAGCTAGGAGTCTTTTTGATGTGAATGAGTCACTTTTCACGTCACTTGAACTGTTCCAGCTGGGTTCCAACTGAGGCTTTCAGCAATTTGTTCTAGCTTGGAGATCTAGGCAGCAAAGTTTTTTTTGTGCAGCTGTGGTGGAGTTCCAGCTGTCTATATAGGCTACTTTGGTCTGAAGTGCATTGTTCACGTGACTGTTCATGTGTCTATTCAGTTGCTGCCATAGTTGGATTTCTTTCAGCTGATCTCTTTGTTTTTTGTATTTTGATGGACTCTTTCAACTGAACTCTTGCTTCATATGGATTCTTTTAAATTGTTGGTATTCGATCAATTTGTTCGGCTGATTGATGACTTCTGTTAGGAGTCTATCACCTAGATTCAAATGCCTTCAAACAGCTTCAAGTATATAAGTGTCTATACCTTTGGAGAATTTTAGGAATTAAGTTTTTAGATTTTTACTTAATTTAATTCCATGTAATTATCATGCATTAGAATTTTATTTCTTTCATTATTGTAATTAGATTGCATCGAGAGGTATGGTACATACGTCTCTCTTGACTAGGTGTAATTTAATATTTTAATCAATAAAATCTACTCGCACCGTCGAGGTTCTCCAAAAAAAAAAATGTAGTTAGTGACTTTTTGTAAGAAGATTTCATGTAGGTTAATTTTCTTTTGCTAATTATTTTTTTACTAACACACAAGAAACACACAAAACGACTTCATATATTTAAAGGGTAGAATTGTAAAATTGGGTATGTATGATTTTCCTTTCCTTTCATTTTTCATCTAATACCAGACGATGAAAAATATATTTCTTCTATTTTTTATCCCTCCTACCAACACAAAAAGGAGGAAAAATAATTTTCTTTCCTTCGTGGATGGAAAGTTTATTCCTTCCACTTTTCCTTCCTTCCTATTTTCTATCATTCGTACTAAACGAACCATTAATTTTAGGGTTGTAATTCAATGCATTATTGGTCAATTTCAAGATTAGATAAAACCCATTTTTAATTTAACCAATGAATTGGATTAGATCCTTAAATTAAAATTTTAAATTAGGTCCAAATAATAATTTTTTATTTAAGTTCAGTTAATATTTTTCATTTTTTCGAAGCACAGAATGAACTTTGAATTAAAGGAAAAATTACATAAATGCCCCCTAAACTAGTCTTTATTTTAAATTAGGGTTAATTGCACTAAAGGCCCCAAAATATAAAATTTATCTCATTTTGATCCTCAATATTTTAGTTGCATCATTTTAGTCCATGAAGTATTTAATGTATTTTTATAAGGTCCCTCAAGAAGATAACATCCAAATTATTAATAGTTTTTTATTATAATTTTGTTGTGTGATACCTAAATATGAGAAAAAATTAATTTGGGTAGCTCTTGATCAAAATTTCGATAACTCATGATTAAAATTGTATAATTTGGGTAACTCTTTAACCAAAACTTGGATAAAAATTTAGTTAAAAGTTATCCAAATTATTTTTTTTTCTATATTTAAGTATAACGTAACAAATTTATAATAAAAAATCGTTAACAATTTGAACGTTTTCTACTTAAAAGATCACATAGAAATATATTCAATATTTCAAGGACTAAAATGATATAATTGAAATATTGAAGAACAAAATAAGATAAATTTCATATTTTGAAAATCTCCGATGCAATTAACCCTTTAAATTATTTGCTGAACTTTTAAAATAACTTCTACTTGACTGTTGTTTCAAAAAAAAACAAAAAATTGTTGTTTCATGGTGACCTTTCCCCCAAGATGCAGTTTTACCAAATGGTGCTTTACCCCATTTCAGAACACAAAGGCAATTAGACTCTGTGTGAGTGTGAGAGAGAGAGAGAGAGTGTTCAATATAAAGATGCAACCAACAGTAAATAAAGTTAGCACTGTCAATCCAGGAAAAAAAAAATCATTCTCAAATGAAGTATTGAACCATCTGGACTTCTTTTTGTTTGAAACCACATTTTTCATAAAATGCTGTGTTCTCAACACTACAATCAAGGATCACCTTGTAACAACCCATTGAACGAGCATGATCTGTGAGGAATCCAACTATTTTCTTTCCTAGTTGCATCCCTCGAGCATTGGAATCAACCACAACATCCTCAATATGACCTACTTTTCCACAATTCCTTATAAACTTCTTTTCAATAAACAGGCTCCCAGTTGCAATAATCTTCCCAGTACCATCATCTTCTATTATGCCTATAAGATGGTCATCACCGTATGAACTAAGATCGTGGAATCGTTCTTGGAATTCCGTATCAGATACATCACCGCAAGTAGTAAGTTGTTGCAGTAATTCAATGAAGCCTTTGCTTTTGTCTGTAATCTCCAATTTTCGAACTCGAAATGTCTCTTCTTCAGCAGAGGAGTTATTGTTCTGCATCTTTTTCCAGTGAAACTTCACACCTTTGTCAGAATCTCTGAGAGTTGGAAACCTAAAAAACAAAAAAGGGAATTAAACTATTCGGAGAGAATTAATTTTGATGATATGAAGCACAAACCAAAAGGCCACAATATCTAGCAAGCAGGATCAATAGACTAAATACTATTTTATACAAACTTTTGAAGTCCTATAATCTTCCGACATATAAACAATTATCTTTTACATTATTTGTTTTTTTTTGGGTTTGGGTGGAGGGGGGGAGAGGGGGGGGGGGGGGGGGGGAGCATATAATACTCAAAAGAGAAACTTCCTCTATATGTTCAGTCTTTCAACCTCTGTTACTCCATAGAAAATAAAATGGGTGGGGCTATTTTCACCCCTTAAATCTCAAAGGCTATTCCATGGTTTAAAGGTTATGAAATCTAATTTTCTCGCCCCCCATCCTAAGCCCACTTTATTAGTGAATAGTGACTAAACACATCTCATTCTACACTAACCCCAATAGGATTAAAAATAAGTTATCCCATTCCATTTTACACCCTCCCTCCCCTTCTTGTTTCACGCTAACACTTTCCTTCTGGCTAGATGATTACACCGTTCAAGCATCAAGGTTATGATAAACATGTTTTTCTGGTTCAAATAAATAATATCACTTTTAAGATGTAAAGGCCATTGTTGCATTAGAAGAAGCACATACAAACTTCAATCTAAATGAGTATTATTAAGAAATTGATGGCATGTGACCACTGTCCAGAAAGCTCCTTTTAAAAATAAAATTAAGAGAAATCAATAGCACCTGGTTCATGGTGGGCATTATCCCATGCGTGCAAAGACAACTGCAAACAATATGATGTCACACAACTTTTGTTTAGGGCATCGAGGGAAGTCTTTCCACATAAAACATGATTTTAGTATGTCAATTAGTTTACGATGTGAGAGGGAAGAGTTAGGGTTATGGTGCTGGCATGCAAAAGCAGAAAGCTAGGGTTAGGGTGGAGCAGGAAGGAGAAAGAAGCTACAGAATAGGTTGGTTAACTAATATTTCATTAGGTCAATCTAACATGGGGAGATCTTAGCTACTTACACAGTGGGTATATAATGGGATGGGAAAAAAACGGACTTCATAACATTGCATTTGATCGGGTGGGCTTTGAGGTTTATGGGATGGGAAGAGCCCCGCCCTATGAAACTCAGGAAACAGACCATGAAAAATCCCGGCACTTCCACTTTCTTACAACACAAACTCAGAGCATATATTAGTTAGATAAAAACACCTTTACGACAACAGAAATAAGTATGCTCCCCTGTTTCTTTGTTCTTCACATTCATGTTTCGTTTCAGGCAATAGAATAGTAAGATAGAACACTAAGAGCCACCTTTATATGAAGTTATGAACATTTTCCATTTCAAGTTTTCTAGCTAATTAATTAATCTGTTACAATAACTCCTTTCATACATATAGTACCCCTTTTCCATTCTAGCCCATATGCCAACGCCCGAACAGTTGTCACCCGAACCTAACATTAACAGCATGTCTTCATTGATAGATCATTTCGCATTTACCTTTTTCCAAATTATTCTACTCACCAAAAACTTGTCCTTACTATTTCAATTTGCCATCAGTTACACGGACTCTTTTTCCATATATGATTCCAAACCTCTTTTAAGGCACAGTAAAACTCAAGAACCTGAATTCCTGATGCATAGGAATTTAGGTAAATGCTTTTCCAATAACTCACCCCACACTACTTACCTAGCCTAGTACATATGCTCATTTCAAAATGTAGAAAATGTTACTTAATCTCCATAGGTATAGATGACCAGACGTAATATATTCGCTTTGAAATGAATCATATAAAATACACATGTGATTAGGCAAGTATTCAAAAAGGAAACACTAAGCAACCAACATGATGAAAATATTGCACTAAAAAGTGCTCAAATGAATGGAGCAACAATTCGTATTAAAAAGAGGGCGAAATCATATGCAGTAGGAAGGGCTCTTTCTTGTTGTTGGGGAGGTGGTCCGGTTAGTCGACCTGAGCTAAGCACTGTTCAAACGGAATGGAAATCCCTTTTTAAATGAAAAATGCTAAAGCGGCAGATCAGGAAGAAGAAGTTCCTTATTCCTGGGAAGCTTTAAAAGAAAGGGAGATTTCTATTATATGATTACCCAATTGAAGTTTGAACAACAAATGATTACCCAGTTGAAGTTTGAACAACAAAAACATTTCAATATTGATAAATTTTAATGGGTGTCAAGCTCCCAATTTTTTTTTTATTATTATTTTTTAATTTTTGGTTGGGGTGGGGTGGGGGGAAATGGAAAGATGGGAAATCCTTTTGCCCAATGTAACTTCAGTTCCGAATATACAGTAAACTGTAAAGAATTTCAAGACTTGACTAAATCAGATGTCCATGAACTAGATTGTTTAAGAAATTAGATCTGGTATATAGTAAATTTAGATGCTCTAAGAAAACACAAGAAAAAACAATCATTACTATGCGTGTCTCTGTGGGCGGGTCCTTGAATGATTATGTACACATCAACAAATAGGGTAAGGAACAAGAAACAGATGAGAACAGTTATTGGGAGATTTACCGTCACAATGGAAGATTGAAATATGTGATGCGGTTCCTCTGTTCGATAGAATGAATGACTGAAAGAGAAAGAACACTCTTATTCTAATTGGCCTAGGAAGCGTCGTAGGTGGCAGGCCACCTGGGCGGCTGAACCTCCAACAGAAAGAGAAGAATAGGATAGCAAAAAATAAAATTAAAATCTTACTGTTATTTATAAATTAAAATTAAAATCTTACTCCGATCATAACTCAATTTTTTTTAAAATTTAAATTAATATTTGAGTAAAAAGATTAATTTGATATAAATGACTCAAATTGACAAGCTCAAATTTAAAGAATGAGAGATTCAAATTTAAATGAAGACAAACTCATATTTAAAAGGGAATAAAGATGATCATTGAATTTTTAAAAGATGGTGAAATATCACCATTAAAGATTTGAGTCTCTCTTGATTTCAGTAAAAAAATGAGTTTGCCTTTATTTGGTATAAGTTTGAGTCAAGCGTTGAAACAAATTTTTTAAACTTTTTTACTCAAATTTAAATTTAAGTCTAAATTTGAGTGAGAGTTGAAAAATACCCTAACCATGACTTATATGTAAACTCAAATTTGAGTAAAAAATTTGATTTGATATAAAATACTCCAATGAACAAATTCAAATCTTTTAAAAATTCTCTTATTGTCCCAAAACTCATTTTTAAATTTTTTTTTCACCAAAATATCTGTTCTCTCATCCTTTTGTTTTATATCACTAGTGAGATTCCAAAGCAGTATCACTTCTAAATTTTCATGTAAAATTTAGGTACAAAATAAGTTTTGTCTTAATTTGATATTGGTTTGGATGTAAGGTTGGTGAGGTTTTTTCGGTCATTTTGACTTAAATTTAAATTTGAATCTACAATTGAGTCATGATTGAAAATACTCTAATTGATGAGACTTTTCCTATCTTTTAAATCTCGTTTCTCAATCCATTTAATCATTTTACTTCAAACTAATAAGTTCACCCATCTATACTCATCTCCTAAGTTACTAAACTTACCGCATCTATATTTACTAATTAAAATTTAATTTTATTTCAACCTACTATATAGACAATGATCAAAATTTTATTTCAGTGTATTATTTCAGTATGAAAATATTTCAGAAATAGAATAAAAATAAATAATTATTTATAAAATATTATTCAAAATATATCAAAACACCTTAAAAATATTTCAAAGGCATTGATTAAAATATATCAAAATATATTAAAACAAGTCGAAATAATATATATCACTTCAGAACATTACAAATTTATTTCAATTACTGTTTTTGTTTTGATTTCTTTGACATATATTTAATAGTTTAATTGAATAGATATAAATGAGGTGAACTTAGTAACTAATGAAGTAGGTATAGATGAAGTGAATTTAATAGTTTAAGGAAGATGATTAAATGAGGTGGGAAAAGAGATTTAAAGGGTTGAAATAGCCCCACCCATTTATAATTTTGAGAATCATTTACGATTTTTAAGGTGATTTATACTTTTTGGAATTCATTTATAAAACTTATAAAATCACCAGAATATTATATATTTTTACCATAAAAAACCCAAAAACTTTTCATATTTCAAAAGAAAGGTATGCCTTTCATAAAAGAAGTATGACCAGTAATTGAGCCGATTATTGCGAGCTCAGTCTGACTGAGTCGAGACAAACTGAGTCGAACGCCAGTCACTCGATTAGTTTACCTATAAATAAGTTGAGATTAACAAACTCGAGCCCAATCTTTTTAATCTCATTTTTCAAGATTAGCTCATTTCTTTTAGAAAAACAAGTCATGCTGAAATCGAATTAAGCCCAAATAGCTTCACTCAATTATTAGCACTAAAAAGAAGGTCAATGTTTCATACTTCTAGCTTAATTTATTTAATGCCCTTGTGTTTGGATAATTTCATATTTATCCCCTCAATTATCAGCAGTAACTTAAAACCAAAAAACAAAAAACGTCTTTGAATTGTAGATAACATTATTATTTGAATCTATGGTTCAGTTTCATACAAATTACTGATTTATCAAGACGGCAGTTCTGAAATTACTTAGTTATATATGCACTAGTGGTAAGAAGATAACAATATTACATTTTATTCCCATGATATAAAAAGTTTTTGCCAAATTTAAATCTTATTGCATAATAAAAGTAAATTCTTTGGACGAAGAAAAAACACTCAAAAAATAAAAATTGGGATTCAATTTAAGTAATGAAATTCAGACGCTAATTAAGTTCTGATGAATGCAGTATTATTTCATCATATATATTTTTTTGCTCGACTAAAAGTAAATAAGTTCATTTTTTCATTATAAATAAAATATAGATGGTAAATAAGACATTTATTTTTGCAGACTCTAAAATGAAAGAATTAACATTTGAGATGTTTTTTTTTTATTTATTTTAAATATCCTTCAAAAGAAAATTTTGGATGATTTCTCTCACTTTTATGCATGCACAATCCACTTTTTACATATTAGAAAAACATAAAATTCATTTAAATCATGTCACTCTTGAGAAAAAAATATATGATGATCCCATAATACTTTCAAAATAGCATAAAAAAAAGATTATGTTATTAAAAACATAATTGAATCTTTTATAGAAAACATTTAATTAAATCAAACATTTACAATTCAAGACTCAAGAGGCTCGAGCTAAGTTTTCATTAACAAACATAAATTCATCACACAAATGTAATTACTCATTCAAAATCAGAAAACCAACATACCCAAATCCACGTACCACCACAAAAATATCTAACTTGAAACAAAATAAGCACTTTTTTTGGTCAGGGGGGATAATGAGTAATACAAATGTGATTGGAGAAAGAAAAGAAAAACCCAAAAGTGTTGGGGGTAATGGAAGCGATATATTAACTACCCTGTTAATCGTGTCGGGTTTTAATGAATTCATATTAAAAAATATTTTACCTATACCTAGTTCGTTTATTAATTTACTAGTCATAACCCGTGTTTGAAGGTACGATAAAATATAAAATTCGAACGCCCAATAAATCGATCTCAATATATTAAAGAACAATTTTTTCCTTCATTTATTTGATTACATCATTTAAAATTTATTTTTACCTATTATTTTTTAAAAAATATTAACAATTTTCTCAAAATATATAATTTGACAAAATTTTCTCAACATGTGTATACTATTGTATATAAATAACATCGAAAATAAAAAACTATGTTAAACTACAAATTAATCAAATATTAAATGATTGAAGATGTGATATAAATGAGTAATGTGATGTTTTTGAGAGGAAAACTATGTAGGGGATAAAATTCAAATTGTTAGGTGTTTTATTATATAGATACACTAGGGGTAACCCGTGCCTGAAGACATGGTGTAACGTGAGTGAGAAATAATGAATTTGAAAGAATAGAAATTCAATATGAATGGTTTTAAGAGGGAACGAAAGGAAGTTCCAACAAATAAGACCAATACCCTAAGAAATCAATTTTAATATGTTAATTTTAGGAGATTTGATATGAATTTCTTTTTCTTTTTTAGGGTTCTAGTACCCAACTTGTTTGACCTAATTAATTTTTTTCATAAATCATTACAACGGGCCCAATTTAGAGTATCCAAAAAAAATATATAAAACATATATAACTAAAAAAAAATAAAACCCACTCCTCTATTCGCCACTGCCAAAGAGAGAGAGAAAGTGAAGAGTGAGAAGAGAAAAGTAAAATTTAATCTAAATGTTTTTCAGAGAGTTGTTGGTAGTTGTTGGATGAGTTTATTTGAAACCGTCGGATGAATATATTGAAGTCTTTCCTATTTTATATTATAGATAAATTCACAAAATATGATAGAATTTACTTAAAAAAATATTAATTTATATACATGTAATCAAAATTGAGTCAAATATAATATAAATTAAAAATCTAATTTATCAAAAAGCATATCGCCAAAATATATTCTATTAAAAAGTTCTACAAATATCATTTTTTTAATTAGTACAAGTTATTAAAAAATTATTAATTTATAAGGATATATTAGTGTTGAATTTTCTTAAGAGATAAAAAAAAAATTAGTCTTGAACTTTTGATTCAAGATACGTGTAAGACATGTTAGTTTGAGATAATTAATTAAATAAATAAAATTAAAATTAATTATATTCAATATAAATGTGTTAAATAACGCTCTTGTTTTTTTTATTTGTTAAATTGATGAGTTTTTTTAATCAAAATGTTATTATTGTGTCTTATAAAAATTCAAAATATTACACTAAAAAGATGATATTAACGACAAATTTGACTCATTTAATTATTATGTTAACGAAAATTCTATGTTCCAAGATCAGCCGTAATCGTTGATAAATTGAGGAAATAATATTAAAGAAAAAATGGTAATTTCTTGACTGTTAGATGAATGAATTTAAAATCGTAGGATGTGTCCAAAATTAACCGTAATCGTTGATCGATTGGGAAAAAAAATATTAAGAAAAAAAAATGTAATTTTTTGACCGTTAGATAAATGAATTTGAGAGCGTAAGATTAGCTTGTTAAAACCGTCTTGTTTTATATTATAGATAACGAATCATGTCATTTTCTGGTCAAAAAAAAATTATATTATATTAAGTTTGTATCGTGTATGAATTCTATATAATCGGTATTTAAATAAATCATGTTGTATATTTTTTTTGATTTGTTTCACATACACCCAATTTATTTATTAATTATATGAAATTAAGTCTCCTCATTTACCAAATAGATGATTTATTAAATAATTAAACCCTTTTATTTTACGCCGTATTCACTTGCCAAATTGTAACACCCTTATTAAACATGACATTAGGCACGTGACTTCGTGCCGCAGATGCTGAAGGACGGTTCGTGTGTTGAGCGCAAAGCTAACTGAGCGGATTGCGAAACAGGGGTTTTTCCTCGAACGAACACCCCACTCCCCGGGCGCCAAATACACACACAAATCCGCCATTTTCGATCGAATTTGCCTTTAATAAGTGGCGGCGAAACGATGATTTGAAAGGAGTAAGCGATGTCGTCGTCGAGATCGTTGATACATCGAGTCGCACCTTTTTTCGCAGCTCGGATTCGACAGAACCAGAGGCTTCTGAGCTCATCGTCCTCTGCTCTTCCTCAACACCAATCCTTTTCTGAAACTTCGTCTCTCGATGCCGTTCACCTGACCGATAATTGCGTCCGGGTACTCCTGTTTTTACTCTCATTTACATACAAAGATTGTTATAGTTATACCTACGTACGTGTTCATTATATTGTGGATTTGTGGTTATTGACGTTTTAATTGAATTTCTCACTCGATGCAACAACCAAAGTATGCGAAAGATGATTAAAGCCCTATCGATGACGCTCGTGTATGTGCAAAAAATTTGATTGATCGAAATGTGTTGTAGTTTGAATTGGAAATGAAGACCTGGGTTATTGGCAGTTTTGCGATAAATTAGTAAAAGGTGGTGAGCATTCTGGAAGAATATTATGTGCAAATAGTGATTTCTAAGGCAAGTAAAAAAATTATTCCCATCACGTATGCTGCTTCGATTGATTTTTCTTCATAGTTTTACAGTCTTATCGATTTTCTTCATTTTTAGTCCCATATCTCAACGACTCCACCTTAAAACCTTTCACATATTTTAGCGGTAAATTTTTATATGAAGAACTTGGTGTGCCTGAATCATGCGTTGATAGGGTGTTGTGCCAAGTTTGAAATATTGGCATGTGAAGTACTTGAGTTTGTGTTTTGGATAATTTTGTCATGATCGAATTGAATCAACTTAATGAATAACTTGCAGAGAATGAAAGAATTGCAAGCAGATGAAGCAAAGGAAAGAATGCTTCGGCTGAGCATAGATGCAGGTGGATGTTCTGGTTTCCAATATACCTTCTCACTAGAGGATAAAACCAATACAGATGACAGGTTCTCTCTTGTTTTATTATTCCTAGGAATTTTTCTTGTTGCTTTATGATTTACTGCTATGAAAACTATTGAAATCAGCTTGCAATTCAGATCATTCTTTTAGATATTTTTATTTGTTATCCTTCAGTGTCGTGTAGGATTTTTGAGAGGGATGGAGTCAAATTGGTGGTCGATAAAATTTCATTGGATTTTGTCAGAGGTGCTACTGTAGATTATGTTGAGGAGCTGATCCGTTCTGCATTTCAGGTAAATCTCCACAGTTGTACTTCTTTTTGTATTATCATCGCGTGCCTTATGCCTGCACCCTCGTTATAGAAAGACTGTCTTATCAGATAAATGTATTTTGAGAACAAGCCTTAAATCAATAACTATATTTAAAACGTGTTTTGGGGTTACTAAGTTCATCAAAACTATCTGGTATGGTTGTCTAGTAAATAGTAATCATTTCAAATCTTTGAAAGCCTAACCCAGACATGAGTTTTGAAGTATTCCTGTTCAGAAAACACTGCAGCAGCTTCACTGTGGTTCTAAATTATATCATCTGCAAGAGTAACAAGTGGTCTAAAATAGAACTGTGAAATATACATTTAACTGAGGCAAGTTGTACACTGGTTTCAATCCATTTTGGTGGACACAATTCTTCAATTTTATCTGGTGGACTGGTTGATTGCAAATTTGATTTATTTATTTAATAGTAAGAAAGAGAGATGTATTAAAAAGGGCCAGGGACTATGCTATGAACTTTTATTAAACAAAGAGTCCACTTCATGTGATGGAAATTACGGATATTTAGAGATTGCCAAGTGTGTCTGATTTCTTTTGTTTTGTGTGGTTGTGATAAGTCTGGCGAGTGTGCAAGATGTTGAGATAAGACAAGAAAATGAAATTCAGTTTTTTTTTTTTTGTTTTTAAGTGTCTGGGTTAATGTCCTTAGTTCAAAGCCTTGTTATCAGTTGCATTGAAATAAAATTCGGTATTTCTGTCCTTTGTCAAAGAAAAATTCAACAGTTGTTCTGTCAACTATAAAAAAGGACTGGGTCCAATTATGGTACTTCCAATTTGCTTTTCGGCATTGTACCAAGACTAATGTTGAAGTTTTTAACTCATTTGGTGAGGTTATTACAAAGTGGGTTGTTTCTAAATCGATCCCAATATTTTCAAATTTCATGTTAATTTTTTATTTATTTTTTTGTAAATTGTCCCCATTAAAGTATGATCGATTCTAATTTTTTTTGTTGTAACTTGATCCCATTTAGTTATAATTTGACTTGAATGAGTTGTAATTAACCCTTGTGTAGTTAAAAATTTTGGTATGGTGCATCCTTCTGTACCATAGTCACGCCCAAAAGGGGCCTTGTCCACTTTGCTATCTTCAGTTGAATTTTAGGAATTTTTTTTTATTAGAGATGCAGAAACAGGATTAAGAGTAGCTAAATAAATTATTTGGCGCATGATCTTCATTCATATGATAGGCCTATTAGGATTCAGAGTAAGCATGTGGCATGTTACTTCTGCGTCGTGTTTGAATGGCTGGATAAGGTGGACGGATAGGATATCCAACTCTTATGAGTGGATGCTTCATATGACGTAGCGGGGTGCATCTCTCTCTTGCATGGTTATTTAGCTTTTGCTCTTTGGTGCCAGTTCTTTATAGCTTGATACTGTTTCAATAAACCCTCTCAACCCGAACCCTCTTCCATGTCGTTCTACCATGCTATTATTTAAGTTCCTTTTTCGTGTGCCAGGTAGCTACAAATCCGAGTGCAGTGGGTGGATGCAGCTGTAAAAGCTCCTTTATGGTCAAATAATAGTTGGCTGCACTGATGTGAACCAGATACTTCCTCTATAAATCCAGCACGGTTAAGAGATCACCAATTTTTGGCTTAAATGGGTGAAGAGTTTTGATCAAGTTGCCGGTTATGCTGATTCATTGTGCAATTACAATATAACAAGTATCTATCTCGCGGTGCAATAACTAAATCATTCTCATACAGCTCATACTTTGAGTTCTCAAAATTTTTTGCATTTCACAATAATTGAGACTCATTTCAGGGAAACCCTTCAGTTATTTGGCCCCATTTGTTCAGGGCTGGTTGGTAACTAATGGGTCTGAAGGAGTGCATGTTCAACTAATGCTTGGAAATTTGTTACAAAATATGTGATTCCATATAGCACATCTGCAGGGGTAGCATTAGAGTGGAAAGATTCTGCATAGTAAACGACCTAGACGCCGACCAAATGATCAGTGAAACTATATAATCGGCCATTAACCGAATAGATGCAGCTTAGAGTTACAAAAGCCAGGAGAAATCTAATCCCGATTCAGTATTATAATTTGGGGACAGGTTATAACACAATAAGATAAAGTTATGGAATCAATTCAAGTTTTGTAGGATCAATCACTCCCATCTAGCTCCAATCAAGTCGTATCTTTTCCTGTTCAAACCTTAATTTGACCTGATTTAGTGGCAACTTGTCTTATTTAAATCATGATTTGAACTGTCGCACCATAGCAGACTTGCAAACAAGAGAACCACCACTAGAAAAAATCGGCTTTTATAGACCACAACTAGAGTATCTTCCAAAATCAGATCTCAGAATTGTGTAGTTCAAAACAGGAACTTTAAAAAAATGCAAACAAAATGGTCCGAAAGCAGTATCAAAAATCTAGCTCACTTTATACTCGCTGCACCAGCTCAGAGTAAGTAAACAAACTTCTTAAAAGATACGCTGTGTCTTGCCCATGGTGCTCTTCAGGTACAAGCATCTCACCTGATTACATGAACAAAACAGAAGAACAAGATGAATCACAACAAAGTTGTTCCAGTAAGAAAGCACCAAAGATGGATATATCATATCAAGTATGCAAAAGGAATGCCCAAAAAAGGAAATTATATAATAATCATTGTTATATGGTAATGACCGAATAAAACTACCACATTTATGGCCTTCCATTGTCTACTAAAATATATGTTCCCAGCAGCAAATTCAGGCTAGCACCTTATTCATGTAAAAAGCTAAGTTATTCGTTTAAGTCCCAGCTTATGTGTTTGTCTAGGTGGGTTTTTCTTCATGGTACCCTCATTTGTCTACAAGAAGTAGTTCGAACACTCCAGCTGTTTTTCTTGTAGCCAATTAAAGATCAATGCCTTATAAGAGAAGAGGTATACCAAAATGGTGACTCTTACCACATTAAACACTTGCCAACTGACAAATATAGCATAAGATTTGGGTGAAATGCAGAAACCTTAAAAATGAAAAGGACTATAACAGCACAGGGAAGCCAAAAGCACATAATTCAGATACGCCAGATGTGATGAGCAGATATAATTTAGAGCAGTAACTGTAACTACGTTAGCTAAAGATTGTTCTCGTCCAATTAAAATGGCGAATGCTAACTTACATTTTGCCAATTCTTCTTCAATAATGAAACAAGAAAGTTCACACTCATCTGAACATTCTGGAATATCTGTTTCTCTTCCATGCTACAGTTTCCCACAGCAACACCCATACAAAGAACTTCTTAAGTTGAAACTTCACAGTAGCTTTTGTTTCATTAACTTTTGACTCCAAGGATTCCTGATGAGTCACCAGAGTTCAAATGTCCTGCTTAGTGTTGTTAACTAAATCAAAAGGCTCTTATTATTAAATCAAGCCATTTTTAAGGTAAAGGCCTAAAAGCAAGCTTAGCAAAAAAATTGAATTGAAAGCAGAAAATGTAACATGATTTCTGTACAAGGTTAGAGCAAAATCAGCAATATTCTCTGATTCACCCAAGAAAAGCATGAATATCGAAAAATAGTCACAAGTCAATCTTACAAAGTCCTCAACTCAACACAATCATAACCAACTATTTGCAGTTGACTACATGAATCTTGTTTTGCAAGTATGATCAATCATAAACTATCAAAGGGCCATAGAGTCTATTAACACGGAAGTGAATGTTATATGTTTTTGCTATCTTATTCAAAGTTAATTTTCATCAATCAATATCTCTCGCATTATTATCTCTCCATCATCAGTTATTTTCTCAGTGTTTTTAATCCGATAAAAATTAGTCAACTAATCAAGATACATCCCCCAAACACTTCCAAATCTTAGTTTGATCACTTGCCTGCCTTATTGAGACCAGGTCCCAAAAGACGAGGGATCTGCTTGATAACAGCTTCGGATGCTAAGAAGGTATGGTACTTCTTGGCTAGCTTCTTGACCAATTTCTTGTTTTTGTTGAGCTTCTTCAACCCTTCCACATCCATATACTCAAGTCCAATCTTCTCTGCCTGCCATCAAACAAAAAAGGTCACATCAAATTAGTGTAAAAAGAAGTGTCTCCTGATTTGTTTTTGCTAGGATGTACAATGGAATTATTTTCTTCATCAAACAGACCTCATGTTTAATTGACATTGGAAAAATGCTTGAAAAGAAGAGTGCGTCAAACACCAAATTGGAGAATTTGCATGACAACAGCACTAAAGAAGATAAGAAAATAGTGTGCAGCTACGACCTAGGGTTGAATCCTATATGCATGCAAGGCTGAATTTTGAACCAAAAAAAGATGATCTAATAACTAATCAGAATTTTTTTTTTAAAAAGAACCATCAAAATTCAATGTCAGGTAAAATAAGTCCAAAAACAGATGCAACTAATGGTCCCAAATTCATGATTCTTATGGCAACATAAGAACCAAAAAACCAATAAACCTATATCGCGGAAGGTCATAAGGAGGGTAAAATGGTTTTCCCATTTGAGGCTTATGAAAAGAAGGGGGTTCACAAATTAAAATATGAAAAACAGAAAGAATAAGATAATAAAGACACACTCAGACTTCAATAGCAGCATCAAAATGAGAAAAACAAAATGCTTGCTGCAAAATACATACAGTTATATGCAGATGTTTTGGCATGGCCAATTCCAAGAGGTAATTGCAGCGACTCAACTCCCCAAGGCGATAGGATATGAGAACACACCCTTTGAAAGCATATGATCCTCCGTGCTAAAGGAGTCCAACCGGTGCACAATCAATGAGGACTTGATATGTGTCAATTTATCTTTGAGTTTTACAAACATTGACGAGTTTGGCTTTGGCCTTACCTCATTGTAAATCATACCTAAAAATTGAAATGCATTTGGAGATTTCACTTTTGTTTCACATTATCACCATCAAGAGCAAAAATCTACCTCTTCCACATGTTGAGCATCCCCAAGCAGGCAAACCTTCATCTTGGGATGAGGAATGTGTGGCAATTTCACAGAACCACTGAAACGCTTGTCTTTCTGGGGATCATAATTCTTCAACCCAATCTGGAGCTCAATGGTCTCAGTGAAGTTACGATTTTTCTCCTTTGCTTCACCAACAATCTGGGAAATGGCCTCTCGGACAGCATCACTTTGTAGCTTACTGAAGACCAAAGAACACAAAAAGCAAAACACAGATACAAGTCAACATATTGACCAGCTACATCGACCATACCATGCCAGTCCACAGGTTACAGTAAAAAAAGCATGCAAAATGCACGACAATTTTGGTTTATCAAGTCTTCTTTCAACACTTCGGGGTCTTGCCTCAACAAGAAGTTGAGATGTAAATACTTAGGAGGTGCTTGGATGATATATCAAAATGCAATCCCCCGCTTTTCTCAAAAGCCATTTCAGGACTAGTTTAAGAGTATGCTACAACCCACACAATTCAAAAAAAAAAAAAATGCTTTTAGAAACAAAGCACACTCACATCATTCATTAACCATGAAACTTCTACAGTATAAAAACTGGAAAGATCCGCACAGATCATCTATATGAAACAATGTTGATTCCAAGTTAACAAGTGCCCAATAATGCAATCATCTTAAACACACTAAAATGACTTATCAAGTCTAGAGCCCCATACAACGATTGTGTTAGTATCTGCTGAAGATGTTGACCGAGACTCAAGCAAGACAGTTGCATCTCCTACGAATTCTCAGGTCACTTGACCCTTTTCAAATTCTGATTGTAAAGTTAAGTAACTAATATAGGCGTTGTAAACCTGAATAAGGTCCCATTTTGTGCTCTGCTCTATTATACTGTAATCCTATAAATAGCAATACAATGTACTGAGTTTGGTGTGTGAGCCAAACCATTCAAATCAGTCTCTTGACTCTCTATTTCAATTTGTTCATCTTACAGGACCCATAAACCATCACACACAGTATAATTAAGGTTATCAGGAGTGTCAATCCTGACTTAATTGTACACAATCTCAGTAACTTCAACGTTATCACATACGAAGAAATGAATCAGAAAATATGTCGGCTGTCTAAAAACTGGAAAAGACTTACCTCATGTTGAAGGTTGTGTCCTCTCAAACGGTTCCCCTGTAGATATACTTATCCTGTTAAAAAAAAAAATCGAAGAACATCGATAAAAATCGGAAAAATGAATCAGTAAGATCGAATGAATGAGAAAACAACCCGAAACTGTAAACTTATACAAAATACTTAGAGAGATCAAAGAACATATAATATAAGGTGCGACTGATTTGAGAGAGAGAGAGAGAGAGAGAGAGGTCGAACCTCAATGGAGTGCTGAGCACAGCAGCCCAGCGACACGGGGAGAGAGAGTGAGTGGTATATCAAAACCGTCGAGCCGTATAAACCCTAGACACGTGCTAGGGCTTTTCACACGAGTCCTCAGAGGCTATAAAATGTCTAATTTAGCCTCTTTATTTTACAAAGTTCCGAAGAATAGAACGAGCGAAAATGAAAATGATAAAAAGTGAAGTAAAAAAAAAAAAAGAAAATGAAAAATATATATTTTTATGTATATATTTGGTTAGTATGAACAAATTATGAGAAAGTTTTAAAAAAATTTCAGTCTATTATTTTAAAGAAAGAAAAGTTACAAGAATTTTTTTTAATTATTTAAATTACCCTTAAGTATATTAAATTGATCGAAAGAAGTAAAAAATATTTATTATAATTAAAATTAATTTAAAAATTTTAAAAAATAGCTCCTAACCTAATTTTAGGACAAACACCAATACTAAGTTCTCAAAACTAAATTATATGGTTAATCAAATTCATATTAAGATTTTTTAAAATTAATAACCAATCAAATATTTAAAAAAAAATAAGGGTAATATTGGAAGTTAATTAAAGATTACAACTTTCTTGTATTTTCTTGTACTTTTTACAAGAAAAAAAGTTAATTAGTTATGAGAAAATCTAAGTATGGAAAAAATAATTTTTTTTCATCATTTTCTATTTCATGTTAACCAAACACATAAAAAATTTTAAATTTTTTTTTTCTTATATTTTCTATCATTATCCCAATAAACAAACGAACCCCAAGAAAGATATAATGGAAAGCGAAAAGAATAGAAAATGAAGTAAAAGAAAATATATTTTTATGTATACATTTGGTTAGAATAAAAATTTCTAAGAAAATTTTAAAACAATTTCATTCTATTATTTAAAAGAAAAGAAAGTTACAATTTTTTTTTAATTATTTTAACTTGGTCTAAAGAAGAAAAAAAATATTTTTCTTATTATTCAAATTTTAAAAAATTGGCTCCTAACCTAATTCAGGGACAATAATCGATTTAAATCCTGATCTCTAGACCAAATTATATGGTTAACGTAATTTGTACAATTTTTTTTAAAATTAATAACTAATTGAATATTTTTAAAAAATAAGGATAAAATGAGAAGTTAGGTTATTGAACACAACTTTTTTGTTTTTCCTTGTGTTTTTTATAAGAAAAAAAAGTTAGTTAGATGTTAAAAACTTTAAGTATGGAAAAAAATTATTTTTTCTATAATTTTTTATTTCATGTTAAAGAAATACATATAAAATTTTAAAATTTTATTTTTCTTGTATTTTATAACATTATCATACAAAACAAACAAACAGACCTTTAAGGAAATGAAATTTTTTTTTTAAATATTGTTGTCAAGATGTATTCATATCATTGTATTAATTTAAATTCAAATAGAAACTAAAAAAAATATTTACTTATGAAGAGATAACTCAAAGTTTTTGGGTATACTATTCAACATTTTGACTTAAACTTTTCCAGTTGTATGACAATTTGTTATCTTTGTCTTATTTTTTTTATTAAATATTTCTTTATTATTATTCGGTTGAGTTGATTTCAAGTAATAAAAAAATAAAATCCAATATGTTTCTAAGTAATATTGGATTGTTTTTAAAATTTAATTTTATCAATTCCAAATTCATTAAATCTCAATTTGACATTTTAAGCCCAATCCGAGAATTAAATTTAAAATTCAATTTTAATGTTATGCCACTAAAATTAAATCTGAATTTTTTTTATTGGAATTTTCAATTTTTTTTCTGTAAGCTGAATTATCTGAATTCAATTTTAAAAATCCAATTATGATCTATATTTAAATTAAAATTTTCTAATTAATATTAATACTAATTTTATGGGTTAGGTTTTTTTCAATACTTTTCTCTTTTATTTCTCAGATCATTCATTCTGTCCTGGCACGCGCTCACCACACTCCATTCGCTGGTAAAATAGCACCGCTCACGACGGCGCGTGCGGCTATACTCTGTGGCCGACTTCTACCTAAACCCTGAAGTCAATCTCGGTACTGTGTTCAATTTCTGTGGAATTCGGAAAATGAGTCTAATCGATGAGAGCTTCGAATTGAGGGAGATTCAGAGGCTTGAAGGCCATACTGATAGGGTTTGGAGTCTCGCTTGGAAACCTGCTACCGGAATAGGTGGTGTACCGGCTGTTCTGGCTTCCTGTAGTGGCGATAAGACCGTCCGAATCTGGGAACAGAGTCGCTTAACCGGTTCTTTCGAGTGCAAGGTTTGATCTTTTTCTCTCGATTTAGCCACCGATTGGTTGCTGAGAAACTGCCGGAAACAGATGAATGAAAAATTGTTGTTTTTTTTTTGTTGTAATGATTTCTAGGTGATGGATATAACCGCGCAATTTCTACCCCAGTTCTGTCGTTGAAATTTTCGTTCTTTCTTTTGTTTGACTTGTGTTTGGGATGTGAGAAAATGGTTAGAAAAGAAAATCAAGCATTTTTTTTTATATTATATTTATCTCTGATGTCCTCTTAATATCGGGTGGAAAATAGAATTTCTAAATCACACGTTTGGAATTACATGAACTATGCTGATTTGTTGCATTTGGCAGTGGTCGTTCGGAAATTTCAGTTTTATAGTGTTATTTTACTTTAAGTCGCTTGACTAATGAATATATATGTTTAATGCTTGGGCAAACCTAGGGTGTACTGGTTGTTAAGCCAATGGCAGGGCAGGTAAGTTGGTATGGAAGAACTGCTCCGTTGCAAGGGATGATACTCTATACATGTTATCGAATGAGGTTTATGAGCAGTACTTTGACCGCGAGGTGCAATCAACACATGGCATGAAGTGATCTCGTTCTAAACGAAACTACTTTTGCTTTTCATAACCAAAACAAAAGAAAGTAAACATATTCTTGCAAAACCATTGGAAAACCAGATCCTAAATTTTAGACTTCTCATTAATTTTAAGCCCTTAAACTGGAAACCTCTGCTCGGTTATGAACCCCTAAGGAAAAACTTTTTGGAGGACAGCACCAAATATCACGTAAAACTTATTGCTTTAGGCTGTATTCGTATACTATCAATGGAATCAAGTGGAAGGCTAAAGTTGAACCTTTCAAGACTTTATTTTTTCTTATTGAATGCAATCTTTTCTAAGCCTTCCTTCTTCTCTAGACTTTGCTTTGCATTTTCATTAATGATGCTCAGACTACAATCATGCAGGCAGTTTTAGAAGAGACACACACTCGCACTGTTAGATCATGTGCCTGGTCACCATCAGGTAAATTGTTGGCAACTGGAAGTTTTGATGCCACTACTGCTATCTGGGACAAGGTTGGCGATGATTACGAATGCGTGTCCACTTTAGAGGTACTATTTAATACTTAAAATCCACTAATGCGGTGTGTTGGCATATACATTCTGTTGTTTTCGTTTTTGAGCAGCAATTGTGACTTTCCTCTGATTAAAGTTATGCATGCGGTAAATGCTAGGGCCTTAAAAAGTTGTACTTATATTGTGATGTTTCTTTTATTGGGTTTAGACATGTGGCCAAAAGATGGTCCCACCTGGGGTTATTCAAATCTTGACCTGCTAAAGTTATTGGAACACATCTATATTTTTTGAGGGCTGAATACATCTATATATAGAATGAATTTTAACTTGGGTCGTGCATTTCCCATGTAGGGTCATGAAAATGAAGTGAAAAGTGTATCTTGGAATGCTTCGGGATCGCTGCTTGCAACTTGTGGCCGAGACAAATCTGTTTGGATTTGGGAAGTTTTGCCCGGAAATGAGTTTGAGTGTGTTTCTGTATTGCAAGGACATACCCAAGATGTTAAAATGGTCCAGTGGCATCCATCTATGGATATTCTGTGTTCATGTAGCTACGATAACACCATTAAGGCAATTCAAATGTCCTGTTCTTTCTTACATTATATCCACATTTTCGCTCTCTCAATGGAAGCCCTATAAAATGTTTAATCATCTCAGATTTCATTTTTAAACTACATAAGTTGACATATGGTTGATTAAATGCATTAAATGGTATGCAGGTTTGGGCAGAGGATGGTGACAGTGATGATTGGCATTGTGTGCAGACGATAAATGAATCTAGCGAGTACGGCCTCAATTTTATTTCTTTGAACTTTAGTTGGCTTGTGCGAAATGAAGAGTTTTTTGTAAAAAGCAAAATATTATTGACAGAATATTACAGTAATGCCAAAGGGAGGAATATCTTCAACCTAAGTAGGTGTCAAATGCGGATTTCCATAAATTATTTGATGACAGAAGTTTCATCAGTCATTTTGGCGTGTTTCACTTTCAATGTGATTTGGTGGCGGTTCTCTTAATTAGTAAATGCATCATCATTTGTATGAAGATACCTTAGTCTTGTCCTGAATCCCAATCATGCGCATGAACTTTATGTGCAATGCCACAGGTTTCTTTTGTAGCAGGGTTATATTTTTTGAAGCTTGTAATCAACCTTTCTTAAGATATGTCGAAATCTTATGCAACTACACCAATTGTCATTTCAGTGGACACTCATCTACAGTCTGGGCCCTTTCTTTTAATTCCAGTGGAGACAAAATGGTTACCTGTAGGTATGGATGGCTCGTCTCATGTTTCTGTACTTACTAATTGAAATGAATATTCCTAGCACTGATGCACTTTTTGTACATTAGAAATGGCAATGATAAGTCAGCCATTCCCAGTGAGGAATAGAATAACACTCATAAGCTGAACACTAGTAAGTAATTTTGCAGTGATGATCTCACCATCAAGATTTGGGGTGCTGATATCATGAAAATGCAGTCTGGTGATGGCATTGCACCTTGGTGAGGAACTTACTATCTTATGTGCTTGATTTTCTTTTGTAGCATTGCTTGACGTTTATGCGTGTGCGTGTTTGTATTATATTGCTGTGCGAGTTATGTCTTTAGTTTAGAGTTTTTGTTTGTCTTCTTTAGTTTAGAGTTAAATATTTTACATTATGGGTAGTTGCATTTGGCCACCTTGTACTTAGGCTGTTACACTGACACATCACCGCCCTCACCTATAATTCGCGACACTAATCTCCTTCAACTTGTGACCAAAGTGAAAAAGGTAACAGAGATAATGGTTTTGACTAGAAGTTAAAAATGCCCCCTTTTTGTTCCCATTTTATTTGGGATGCCATCTATCAGTCAATATATATAGAGATTATCTATTAATATATGATAAGCTATGGCTATGAATATATTATGTAATCCATGCTTTTCAAATTATTTTTGTGAAGAGCTAGATTTTCTATTTTGGTGATTCATATATTTAATCTCACAAGCTAGGGTTGTGGTTTATTCTTTGAAAAAGCATTGGTTTCGTGGATTGTGTATGACGCATATACCTAGGGATTAGAGTTGGTAATTTGAGAATTATACATTCAGGTTGAATATGCATAATCTTCTATTAAGTATGTGTTTGTGTTGATTACCCTATGCAAATTAATAAGTTAGTTTCGTTTTTTGGTCTGTTTCAGGAAACATATCTGCACTCTCTCTGGTTATCATGATCGGACAATTTTTTCAGCGCATTGGTCAAGGTAGCAAGAATTTATACAGTTATGGTAATTGTTTAGTCATATGCTTAGTATGTGCTCTGATCCTTGTCGTGTTTCATAAATTAAACACCCCCCTTTTCTTCCCTTTGTCACACAAGGGTAAAAGATCCTTAAATTGTTTCCTTGTTAGCCTACTCATTCATGGAATGGGTAATTTGGGACTACCCTAAATCCATTTCACCCTTTTTAACAGTTGTTGAAATTTGAATATATGATTTTGGTGAGAGATTGAGTCTGAGTTCTTGGCGTAAACACCCCACTTTCTAGTTGCATTAATATGGAATAGTTAAAGCTCCATTGTCACAGCTTAATCAACTGAGTTGTGGATTGTCTCCTCCTCTCTTGATTTTTCTATTTATGATGTGCAACTATGACAGGGAAGGAATAATTGCTAGTGGAGCAGCTGATGATGCTATACGTCTATTTGTTCCAGGCGAAAATGGTTTGGTACTAAAACATCTTTCTCATTCATTGTGATTTCTGGTCTATGAACCAGAAAACTAGAAGGACTAGCTTTATATATATTTCGTGTGTTGTTTTGTTTCTTTAAGTCTTACTCTATTGTTTTCAATGCAGTAGAGCCCAACTGTTTTTTCACTGCCTTTAATTTTGTGTGAAAGTAAAGTTTACTTTTCATTTGTGTTGTTTGTCGAAACAGTTATCTAGGTGGCTCAAAGAATTCTTTAGATGGTTATATAGTCACTTCTTTAACCCAGCCATAACTTGGGAGTTTTGGGAAGCACTTTGTATTTGTTCACACATTAAATTATTTTGCAGTAATACCTTATTTTGATATTATCAATTGTTGCTTTGGAAGGATATGATTATATATTGAGGGGGAGTTGGTTTCCTCTTCGGATTGCAAATTTGACTTCCTTTGTTTGTGTGAGGCTCTTTGGATATCTATACTTTTGATCAATAGTTGATAGTGCTTTGGGTGTCTAATTGATTTCTCAAAATAACCATTCCTCTTCCTGGGCACCTTTTGTTATGAGATATCCTGCTCTGCTAACTTGGCATTGTTCCTTTCCCACCTGATGCCTTTAGAATGTGGAACTGGTTTGCTCTAAGGAGGAAATTCAGTGATACATGACCTCTCAACTTGTGCAATACAGATGTTTTCCCTCTGCTTCAATATCACTGTGCTTCTTTTGGTCAGTAAACTTATGATCTCCTCCTGTTCAAAAAGAAAAAAACTAATGATCTACTATCGGTGATGTTGAGGGTTTGTTTTTTCTGCTAGTTTAAGAGCAAGCCCAATGATATGCCAATGTTGGTTAAAATACCTAATACACCTTATGAAAATTTTAATTCAAAGCATAGTTTGAAGACTTTGCAAATACATACAATTATATTCACATAATAGAATCATTATGTGATGATTGTCCTGATAATTCTCTTTCCTCTTAATGATCTGGGGATTTCTTGATGAGCCGACATAACAACTTGTTGTAGTATGTTTTTCAATTCTAGGGATTGCATGTGACATGAAATCTAGTATATTTCACATGGCAAAATGGTAAAAAACTCGCATATGCTATCTGCAGGTATTTCTCCATCATTTTTCCCTTGTTCAAAGTTGTCAGTTGTAGCAAGTGTTCTTGTGTTTTTGCTTGTTTTGCATTCCTGTTATCGTTTTCCCATTTGAAATGTGCACCAAAGTCAGTTCGGAGTGGTGCTGTAATTGTTTTGATATTTCAAACTTTCTGACACCTCTTGAGTTTCTACTTCCTTCCTTTACTAGATCTACTCTTGGAGTCCCCCAATAATACATTATTTATAGCATCATTTTGGTTTGTTTTAATCCTGGCTTGGCTGCCTTTCCAATCCTCCTCTTCTTTATTGTTATTATTGTATCTCAATTAATACCATTGGTGTCATGAGTATGAGAAAGCTAGCCTCCTCATCTTCTCAGGGAGAATTAATCTGTCCATATGTTTAGGAGTATCCCTTGTTTTGCCAAAATGCAATCGACACCATGTTTGCCAAAGTGGGTTTTATTACCCTCTTCTCTGGGTATATATTTAGGGATATTTTGAATTTTTTTCCTTCTTTTCATGAATTGTTGTCTTTTCCTCTATGCGCCCAAAATTTTAGGTTATTCAGTAAAAATGCAAGCCAAAGGTTTATCCTTCTCCTCGTGTATGAAGAATTGGTGAGGAAATGAATTGTAAAACTAGGAATCTGCACATCCATGGTGTATCTCAACTTTCTTCTTTAATCCCATTTGATGTGTCAAACACTAAAAGCTTCTCCTTCCATGTAAGCTCTACATGAATTAGGGAGAAACAAAAAGGCAACACGAACATGACTTCTTGTAAGTGACTCAATGACGGGCAAGTTGTCCCTTCTGTTGATTCTGAGTCTCAGGCTTACTACTGCTATTGTCAAATATGAACAGTTAGTGTGGAGAAATTTTGCGGAGTACCACATAATTTTTAATCTCTTATACGTTGAGTGGGATATAGCGTATCTAAAATTCAACTTTAATGCATCGCGGGCAGTTCGACATTTGTAAAGAGGTCATGAAAAGAAGCTACTGATAGGATTTTCAAGTATTGAGGAATTTGGGTGGTTTACTGTCATTAAGTTTAGGGGACAACACTAAGCGATGTCAAATAAAAACACTGAAGATACTGGTGTGCTATCTATTTGCCCATATGAATGGTTCTTCAATATGTGCTGTTCATAAAGAAGATATGGGTTTTATGAATTTTCTGTTCTAAGAATCCTGTATATCTGTATTGCCCTTTTCAGTGTCAGTGAGATAACAAGGACTTTGTTATGTATTTTTGTCACAGATTGATGGACCTACCTATAAATTGCTTCTGAAGAAGGATCAGGCGCATGACATGGACGTAAATTCAGTTCAATGGAGCTCTGCGGTAATTTCAATTCATACATACATTCATAATTTTATGAGAATCGGTTAATTCACTCGCACTTTGACATAAGATCTCATGTGATATGGATGTGTGGTTGTGGGGGGATCAGTTCTGGTTATCTTAACCCTAGGTGTCCTTGGATTCACAATTTGGACGTCCAGATTACAGCCTCCTGACAATTGTGTATTGGTTCTTTATTTGTCCAGAACATATGTCTCTAAACTAGTTGGCAGAAATTACCCAGCAACAGTTAGAAGGATTCCTCTACCAATGCAACACAGTCAACTTCATTTGTTAGAACAGCTTCCTTTTGAGTCTCTGCACCTACCCTCTTTATTTTTGCTTTCTAAACCTTTGTTTTCGGAAAATAGGATTTGGATCAGGCTTGTCCATTTTTATTAATTCCAGGGGTTCTTTGAATTTGAAAGTTATCACTTAGTAAGTTTCCATACCAAGGCTCAATCCAATCGAATCTGTAGCGTCTATGCTAACCATTCAGATAGAATCATCAATGTGATTAAGAGTGAATAGCACACATATTACTCTGCTGGGTGGGAGTCTCTATGATATCCCTATCCCTTGCTAGTCCATCTTAGGTTCTCCAACCTGATGCTTCTGAACTTGTGATAAGCAGGTACCAGAAGTTCATAAAAGTCATCTTATGAAAATTATCTACCCTAGTATTACTGATCCACCTTTCAAAAGATAGATTTGGGAGTAGAACACACCATGTCAAGGATCAGTTTTCCCCTTTCTTTCTGTAGAAATTCCGTAGTGGATTGGAGTCCTTTGACCGAAGATAGTTTGCTTTGGCTTTTTTCTCTCCATCCACATGGGGCTAAGTCATACTTTGCATTGACCTAAAACGGGTGGGGAGAGAGAGGAGAGAGTGAGACGTCCTTGTTTCACAGCTTAGCTCCCATACTTTGTGAATGTGTCGAGTTCCTTTAGTCCTCATTTTAGACTCACAGTAGAGAACGTTTAGTGTTTATACATTTTCCATTCATTGAAACTTGGCAGGAAAACAGGCTACTTGCTTCTGCAAGTGATGATGGGACCATCAAGATATGGGAGTTGGCTCCTCCATCCGGGAAATAAGCAATTTTCGTTGTAGTTCCGTTTTATTGGGAATCAGTGGAGATGCTTATCAGTCATCTCACAATGTTGTAGAAATATCATGTAATTTGTTTGGTGATGTCAAAGTTTTGATATATTTTCCAAAATCTTGTTGTAACTTATATGGTCCAGCAGAAGTATAGATCATTTTGAAAATAATAAAAGTCGGTGCTCAATTTTATATATTATTTTCTATGGTAAATTCCTCTGCAACTGAGCTTGATTCGGGCCTCTCTCTCTCTCTCTCTCACACACACACACACACAGGTACAGACAGTTGGATTTGTATGCTTTGTTTCCTTTGGAACCTGATTATGTGATGAATGTACCGTGCGCTATGCCACTTTGTAATCTCAATCACCGATTACTTCGTAAATAGAAGCCACTGGTTTACGGATTTCACTTTGTTTGAGGCACACAACACCCCCAAATCCACTGCATTGTATCCCTTGCAAACACATTACTTAGCCTTTGTGCAGTGGTAAGATTATTTTATTTTTTGTGTTTGAGATCGAGCCGTTGAAACAGTTTTTTCGTATGAGATGGTAAAATTGTTTACATATAACTCTTTCAAACTACACTACGACGTGGGTGTGGCAACCTCCTGCACTGTGTTGGTTTTTACTAAACAAAGTTTACAATCTTGGGTATAGGACATTCTATTGGGGGTGTTAAATCAGGTCTTGTGTCACCGGATGATGGAGGAGCCAATTGTTGATACATTTTCCGGACATTAGCTTAATGACTGCAATTCTCATATGGGCATAGGTGGCTGTACACCTTGTTTTATTTTCCGGCCTCGGGGAACTTTACTTTAAGGGAAATGGATCCAATCAAGAGTACTCCTTTACGATTATGTTCCGTTGGTGAACTTCTCGCTTTAGAAGTTTCTTCTTGTTTTGCTTCTTCTAGTGTCTCAATGACGGTCTTAGCTATCTTTTTCAAAGATAACTGATTTGTTTGAACTTCAAGGATTGATCGAAAGAGAAGATGGAAGGTTACTTCCAAGTCTCTCACCTCATTACATGCAAACAACTATACTTAACAGTCTTTGGTTAGATTTTGAACCCTAGTAACCCAGTTGTATCACGTCAATCAGGGATCAAGTCCCAAGACAAGTAATTAGTATAACAGTTAATCGAGTTGAAACTTTCCAGTTTTGAGAGACATTGACAAGTTGATTATATCAGACTTGAACTTGATTGTTGAGTTTGAATTCTCTCTCAACCACGACTCTCTTTTCTAGACGGTACAATCATGTTTAGCTCGACTGATTCAGCTCATTTTCATACTATGAGGTCGAATTCTAAATTGTTCTGGGATCAAACCCTAAGAGGAGTAATACAATTGATTTAATTTGAGAATACTGCGGCGCCTCATAGGCTGATAGGCCATTAATCGAGCTGAATCTTCTAAGCTTAGATCTATCCAAATTGGATAAGATAATTATAACATACTCGAACTCAGTTTATATTATTGCTTAAGCACAACTCTCTTTCTAGATCATATGTTCATGATCCTTTCAACTCAACTATTCTTTGTTGTAATTGATCGAATTTGAGCTTAGACACGAAAAAATCCTAAAAATACAAGCACGATAAGAATCAAGCGTGACATTACTTAGGTTAGACAATTTTTGGTTCATTTTTTTTAATATGAACAAGCTTGAACAAACTAAAATTAAAGTCAAAGAACTTGTCTGTTCTTTCGAAATGTACTGATTAGAATAGAAGTGCTATCATAATAATGATCTACATAAAAGAGGTGCATAGCCCAATATCTTCATACTTAGGTGCATTATCAATCATCCAGATTAGAGAGCGGGTACAAATATTGCGGGAGTCCCATGCTTTATTTTGTTCAAAACAAACAAAAAAAGAAATAGGAAATTCAAATCTTAGGTTTTAAAACTCAGCTAGCACCTGTTCTCTATCCTTAATCTCCTAGAATTTCTTCCACCTTCAACCAAAGCTGCACGAGCTGACATTATGCTGTTATTCATCAATGAAGCATCAAAGGCAGTGCAATCAGTCCAATCCTTCAACAGCTCCTCTTGGCCCCATATCTCCGGGATCCAAACCCTCCCCGCCACCTCCATCCGGTGTCTCTTCAGCCTCTCACGGCCACTGTCCTCCGCCATTGCCTCGGTGGAGCTGGGTGGTGCATTTGTAGTGATCACGTCCAGTACTGGAGTTGATGTACACCCTTGTAGTACTGAAGTTGCGTCATTTGTTGGTTTCTTTGATTTAGAAGATGGGGTTTGAGGCAGATTCTGATGATTATCAACCTCTGAAAATGGCCTTTCTGATTCAATCTGATCATCTTTTTTCTCAGTTTGCTTGAACTCCGACGAAACTGAGACAACTTGGTGATGAGACGCATTTTCACCACTCTTTGAGCCCATGTTTGTGGGTTGTTCTTCAGCTAAAATGGGGTATGCTTAAAACTCTCTCTCTCTCTCTCTCCTGCGTTTGCTTTCATTCTTGTGATGAAGATTCCATGAAGCTTTAATATTGTGAGGGAAGAAAGCGAAGCAAGTATGTGGGGGTGTTAGTTTACACGTCGCCACAGGAGTTGCTTTTTGTATGGTAAGTGACAAATGTACGTGTCTTGTTTGAGATTGGGTGCCATTTTGTGTGGTTTAGTTCAACCTTTATAAACTTCTCCCATACAACAGCAATAGTACACCCACGTTTTTTTTTACCAAATTAGTATCCATTGTTCCACCAACTACAAAACATTCAATATGCCCTGGCGGACGCGCTCTTAACCTAATGACTTTACACGTAACTTGTGTTTGAAATCTTGATAATTCGCTAGATTTTATAATTTACACTAAATATAGCATTTTTCTACGTTCTTTATCGATGTTAGAGTCAAAATATCTATTGTCGGGAGTCATTTTAGATTCAAAAATACAAACACCTCCCGTGCACATTTTATATAAACAAAATTAACTATATAACTTTTGAATAACGCACCCATAACAGAGAAAAAAAGCATTCAAAAGGGATAAAGAGAAACCCTAAAGAGGGCTTAATAGCATTCCCTAAAGGGAGAGCATAAAAAATCAAGACTACTATTTGGTAAGGATCGACTCCTTGATCTCTTCGGTGACAGAATCCTGAGAGAATGGGACCAAAAAAAAAAAAAAAAAAAAAAGAAACAAAAGAAAAAAAGATGACATCAGCTGCAATGATGATGTGGTGTCAAAGGTTATGCTCAATATTTTTTTCTTCGGAGGACACTTAGAGGTTTGCGAGACCCATTTTTGGTATTTGGCCAATGAAGATTGAGTATTTGATATACTGGTGGAACTTTGGGACATGGCCTAGGGTGTTCACCTTACTTTACGGATAAGAAATATTCTCTTTCGTTTTCTTATTCGATATTTTACAGAAGAGTTTTTTCTTGGCCTACCCTACCCGACAGGTGTGATATTCTTACCCGTCTTCCTATCCGATTAATCGGATAGGAAGTTAGGTAAATATTTTTGTAACAATTAATTTTTAAATCATTTTAACAATTTAACAATACAATAAATCAATTAACACTAAAATCTAAAACAACTATAACAAGAATTATAATAAAACACATAAAAGTATGAACATCAATCTACCATAATTGTTACACAAATACAATAACAATTAATTTAAGTTTAAATTTTAAACCATATGAAATATATTAAAATCATAATTGCTCCGCTAGGATTTAGGATTTTTTTGTTTACATATATATATATATATATATATTAAAAAATTATTGTAGGTAGGATAGGGTAGGGTAGGAATGCGGAAATGAATGACTATTTCGAATTTTTACCCGAAAATTGTCGAAAAATCAAAAACTCTTCCATATTCTTACTCGATTTTTACTGCTACCCGTTCAATAGAATAGAGTAGAAACTTGAGATCGATCGTTAACTTGTCAACATTTGTTATTGGCATTAAAAATCTCAATCCTCCATGTCCACTTCTTTCTGTGGCCATAACTCTCTCTTTCTAATATTGAGTTTTTTTTATCGATCTATTTACATGGTGGAGTGCGACGAAATTTAAACCTTCAATCTTATAATTTAACAGTGAAGACAATGATTATTACGTCAATTACTAACCTTAAAAGTATTGAATTTAATGAGAAAATTCTGTTATTTTTCTTTTTTAAATTATTTCTTCACCCCTTACTTAAAATGAATTTATTTTGCTTGTGAGAATAAAAATGTCTTGAACTGGTCCCTTCATATTGTATCATGGTGGAAAATCTGTCAAAAAAAAAAAAAAATCAAATTTGATGGTGCATATGCTGATAGAAGGCCAAATGCAGTGGGGGCCACACACCCTAATATTGTGATGAATACCTATGCATGTAAGTAGTACACATTTGTCTTATAAATATTGTGTCTCATATTCACCTAGTCCAACGTCCACTAGCCAGTATCTGGAGCCAAGTGGAACTAGGATTAGATATCTCACTCCAATTGGGATTAGGTTTAAGTAATACATTAGGATTATTGACAAATAAAATATAACCCTATTGAGATTTTCACATAGCGAAAAGACGTTCGTAGAAGATTTTTTAATGAATCACGTAAATCTTGTGTTCTAGAATGAATGTTCTTGATTATTTCTGGTACTACGAAACGAACTTGTGTCCTTCAATTTGAACCACAAATTTTAAAAAATTTGTTTGTAGGTTATCTTCCATTCATTCCAGACCATGGGGGGTCCAAAATATCACTAGATATATTTTCCAACTTGAAGGTGGCTAGATACATTGAAAAACAAAAACAGAAGGACAAAAATGGAGCAGAGGCTAGTGGGAAAACGAGAGAAAATGATAAAAAAAAAAAAAAAAACCCTGTATTTTTCATTTTATAACACAAGTACGATTTTCCGTCATGTCATATCGTATTCGTGTTGTATGTGAATATTGTATCTTCCTCTTATCATTACCCTGAATATACCTTCTCATGTCAACCGCAGGGCTTCACTTTTGCCTTCTCATTTGGACATGAAAATGAAATCAGAAGCTCAAATAAAATCCCAAAGAGACACAACCCTGCAGGTCTTTAGCCACCAACAGCAACCAGTTCAAATTCCTTCTTGGCATGGGTAGATACTGTTGAATTTCTTCACAGAAGCACATGAAAGAAAGAAAAATCACCTGTAGCAGTGAAATATCCTCGTATCCACTTCTATAATTCCTCTTTAATCAATAATAGTTTATGCATGACTTCAGCTAAGCTTCAAAACAATAGAATCTGTATAAACCAGAGGTCAGCCAAATATGCTTCTATAGCCTTGCTCTACTAGATCTCCAACTTATTTCCGTGGGCTAAATATAGGATAGTTATAATTCTTGACTTGCACAATCAGGGTACAACATAAAATCTTTTTTATTAGGAAAGGCATATGCAATACATTCTCTCAGAGCTAAAAGCCATATTAGATGCGTAACGAAAATCCTGTACATACAGAGACAAATTTTAGTACCCTTAAAAGGTGAGATCAAGTTGAAGAGAGCTACTTCTAGAGGGAAAAGTTTATGTTATAAGGGGGAAAGTGAAAACCGATTCAGGCTCTTGGATAGCGTGAGCGTCCCTTCTTCCTGAGAAACTCCGGGATCTCCACTGAACCACCTTCTGTGAATGATGGTCGCCGGGTGACATCTCCCTGGGCTAGCTGATTTGCCTGCATTTTGACCAGATGCCTATAAGCTTAAGGCAGCACAGGCAGGATGTGTGAAGGGGGTGGTGGAGAGAGAGAGAGAGAAAGGGGGGTGGGGAAGAAGGTTCAAGTAATACCTGGATGGTTCTTCCATCACTTTCTTCTTGGCGTTTGAATCCAGTGGCAATTAGAGTAATACTGACCTGAATATAAAACAAATGCAAAGTGAGCAATTAATCAAATGCATATGAACCTTAGTAGAGACAGATCCAAGTCACAGTTAATCTATACACATATAGAAGTCAAAGGCTTAAAAGAAAATGGCAGTATGAGAGGTTTTTCAGTTGAAATGTGAACATTGTTGAAAATCAGGATTCAGAATGTTGGACAAGCAGCTCATATTCTGCCTTTGTTGATATCAATAAAAACCAAAGCAAGCCTACCTCTGAGATCTGACAGTAATAGTACTGCGAAACATGAAGCAGCATGTGAAACACCGAATTCAGCTCATTAACTCATTCACAAGTTAATGTAGTGTTTTATACAATACATAACTTTGACTACTTGCCTGTTCTACCTAAGATAAATTATAAATGGTAACTGCCCACTTTCTATCTCAAATGTTGCTTTTTTACAGCCAAGGGCGGGCAAAAACTAGAAGAATGGCAAAATGTACATTTTTTTTTGCAGCCACAAATACAAAGCAACCAAAAAAAGTTAAAAAAAAAACTAAAGAAACAATTACGGAAAAGAAAAAGATAGCTTTTCTCTCTCCAGCTGGGTAACGTTAAGGAGTTGAAACATTATTCTTACCCCCTAAAACTAAATTCACTAACTCTGCATATCTTCTTCAATTTCCCTGTCCATCTTAGAAGTCAGTCCCAAGGATGGGAGGGCTTGGTGTCTTGCTTGATCATGGACTTTATCTCTGACACTATTTGACAAGTCTCCTCAAGGGACAATCAAATGGTGGGCTAGTGATTATTGCACACAGGATCATTTGTAATGAGGGTCATTGATAAGCAAAGTCTATCCTGCTCATGACTGAATAAATAACTTACTTGGCCAGTCAGCGAGGGATCTATCACAGCTCCAAATATTAAGTTGGCAGTTGGATCGACAAGGTCATATATGACCTCTGCTGCAGCATTTACCTGACATAATCCGAAAATAGAGTAGGATGGTATGACAAGAGGAATCAAGAGTCAGATAAGCTATAACAGAGCTCACTAAAAGAATGACCATAATTATCGTGGAAATATCATAAGGTCTTGGAACACCTATGCAGGGGGAATAAGAAAGGTATTTCTGGTAACATTTAGGACTCCTGGAAGATTTAGGCTACAACTACTAACTTGTCCCCAGTGAACACCAAACTGATAAATATTGGTTAAAACTTACATTCACATGTCTGAATCAATGATTAGAAAATAACCAATGTGAGTTGGACATCACTAGATATGTCACGGCAACCCAACCAGAAAAATAAAAGAGGACATGTCAAGGGGAAGGAAGCAACACTGCTGCCACAAATTTCACAAAATTGACATATCAAGGTGAAGCACAACAACCATACTTTCTAATAATGCTCTTTGTTAATAATGGTCCTTACTATCCATGCTGTGAAATAAATTGGTATTGTGAATCATTTTTATGGCAAAAAGAGAGTCGGCCTTACAGTGATGACTCACGCTTGTTTTTTCTTTCACAAAACCATTACTATATGCATGTGTGTTTGTGTGTATAGAGAGAGAGAGAGAGAGAGAGATAAGTACCTCAAACAAGGTTAGATCACTGCCACCAGTTATATTCCACACAATTCCAGTAGCCCTCTCTATACCAATATCTAACAAAGGTGATTGAATGGCATTTAATGCAGCATCTCTGGCCCTGGTCTTACCTGGAAAGCAGAATGGCCACAAGATAAAATATGACAGTATTTGGAAAGTGAGCACTTGACAAGAGTACAATAGTAGCTTCTGACTCAAGACTTTAGGAGAGATTGTCCCAAACCATAGTATGCAAAGGGTGAAATTCACTCAGTTCCTTCCAGATTTGTCATATGGAATTTAGTTATTTCATAAAATATTGAAAACTAAATCATGAGAAAAATCATCCCCAGAACTAGCAATCTTACATAATGCAGAATTCTACTTATTATTTTTCTTGGCTTTTGCACAATCTTGCCCCATGACCGTAATATCATGCAAAAAAAACATAGAGCATTTAAATTTCATTGTAGGATGAGAAAAGTATAAGTCTACTAAGGATGTATATGTGGGAAGACACCATACAAGGAATAGGTCAATTCCTCATTATCTTTCTACAGTCGTTGGGATAACTTGGCCATTTTGCTATTGAAAGCAGAGCTGCCCAAAGTGGTTTGTCGTCAAGTAATGGAAACAAATTCGTGAAGATATATGATTGCATGGAACCTGCTGCCCTATAAAGTACTACATTAAGGTCACATATTGTGGAAGTCCCACTACAAAGCAGAATGATAAGTAGTGTCTTTTTCCAAAGTAGAGGTACTATTCCAGCCAACAGCACCATAGGTAAAAAGAAAGAGAACTGTCAGAGCTTCAGATGTTATCAAATAAACTCTACACGTCTAGGTATACAAGTTACCTCTTGAGAAGCCCTTAATCTCTTATCCCCCAAAACACAAAAAAAAAATGAGAATCTTCTGAATGCTATTCAAAATTCCCTTTCAATTCAAATTCATAAATAAAACTTCTTGTAGAAGATAAGAAACTAAGGTGCAATGTTAAAGGTGGTTTCATCACTTAAGCCAAGCTCTATTCAGAAGCAGGTATGAAAGTATGCTATGGGAATGGAAGAGAGTACTGGTTGGGAAGTTTGGAGGGGACAAGGGTCACTAGACAACTAATAAGATTAGAGGCCATCATCGTGCTAGGTAGTGAATGGGGTTAAGCAAAGACTATATGTTTACTAGTGGGCAAAGGTCAGAGGATTCGATTTCAGTATTATATATGGTTGTTAGAATGCAGCATATATATTGTGGTGGCCACACTGGCATATTTATAAGCTTTGTTGCTGGGGTTGTTCATGATCAGTGCTGTCCACAACTGGGGTTTGGAGGGGAGGGGTTCAACTGGAGATTATCAAAAAGAGGAAAGTTTGATATCAAGCCCTATTAAAAGGTGCTGCTTGGAGATGCTAATTTGGATTTTATCAGGCTATATATCTGGCTGGCACATGTATAATGGCATATTTGAGCGGACTGCAGTTTCAGGAAAAATCCCGACGATTAATAATCCCGGTGCATGGAAATAAACTGAGTTTAAGAAGTTGTTGCAGGGATACAGGTGTGGAGGAGACAAGTTAGCAGGAGAATTATGGTACTTTCTTTGCTTATTTGACCTGAGGAGGGTACTACAAAAATCTGATATTTTCCACTCAGAGCAAGCAGGCAATCCAAACGAAAGCCACTCGCTTCTTGGTGAATTTGGAAAGAAGAAAACAAGCGCATCTTTGATTTGGAAGAACTTTAGTACTCATATTGAAGCATAGTTTTGGATATTCTATCTCCACTAGGCAGTCAGGAGGAGTTTTTTATGGAGAAGAACTGCAGTTAAGGTTAGGAGGTCGGGGCTGGTCATGCTCTACTTTTTGCGTGACAGGTGTGTGGCCCCTGCACTACACATTCTTAGGAGAATTCTTTACTTGTCACGAAAATAAGTGCAATGTTAAAACTTAACTAATAAAGAACACAACAAAGAATTAAGCAAGCTTTCCTTTTACGCAGGACTATTGGATATCATTAACTAAGTAGTTTTGAACTTACCTGTTGCAGTTCCTATTCCCATTAATGATGAACCTGCATTGGCCATAATAGCTCGCACATCAGCAAAATCAACATTCACTAGTCCCGGAATCTGCAATTAAGGTACCTCATCTAATCATTGAACAAGAAAATAAACCCTAACATGTGTATGTGTGCGTGTATATATGGGAAGTAAATACACACAGGCATTCTCATATGACATTTTGTATTATAAATTGGTGTGTATATTAATTTTCAAGGTTCGACATTCTATGTAATTCATTAACTTACAGTGATGACCTTATCCTCTTCATTTTGCACAAATGAGTAATATAATAAAAGGTTCAGGGAGAGAGGGGGGAGGGGGAAGATGTATGCAGCCTTATCCCCACATGCGGGAAGGCAGTTCCTGTGATTGTCATCAACATAATGGATGACCATTTTCTCCCATGAGAAATATTTAAGTGCATGCGAAAGGTATAAATGTTGCAGATGTTGGAATCATCATATACACTAAATGCAAAAATATTATTACTTAAAAGTAAAACAAAATCTTCTCATCACAATGATCAATGAAGCAACAAGGAACTAATTACCAATTTGGAAGCATAATGATTTACAGATGGCTAAAAATTTTATTAAAACAAAAGGATGCCTTCATGCACCTGAAGCCTATGTAGAAAGAACCCCTAATAAAAAGAAAGTGCGTACAAATCCAGCACTTTCAATCAATAAATTAGTTACAGATGGAAGTTGAAGTTCTCATGACAACTTATTTGGCATCATACCGTAATTATATCAGAGATACCACGAACCCCTTGTCGAAGAATATCATCAGCCAGGTTAAATGCTTCTGTTACTGGAGTAGATGGGGACACTGCAGTTAGTAACTTGTCGTTTGGAATGACAATCAGGGTGTCAACATTTTCTCTCAGAGCTGCAATTCCTTCTTGGGCTTGAACTGCTCTCCGTCGTCCCTCAAAAGAAAAGGGTGTTGTTACAATACCAACAGTCAAGATACCCATTGACTTTGCAATCCCTGCAATTACAGGAGCCCCACCAGTGCCCGTTCCTCCACCCATTCCAGACTGCACATATCAGTTTTGGTACTAGATAAGAGATTGATAGAATCTGAAAAATGGAGAAAGCAACAAACTGTTGGCATGAAGGTATTAGTTGCTTAACAAGTAGGCCGTTCTGAAGCTAGTATTTTACCACATCAGGCTGTGATTTTGTTTAGATATTGACCCACTGAACACCCATTATCCATTTGCAAGCCTAGCATACAAGACCAAGATCCAAGGATAGCATTTCTCAAGCATAAAATGCATGATTGATATTTCATTGATCTTACAAGAATAGGCTGTGATGATTCTGTTTGGCCAACAGTGCATGGTACTATTATGGACCATACTATGATTACAAATTACATATCGTGTGACTGGTTTTAGATTTAGATATCATGAAAAAAAAAATGAATGCTGTCAAACAGTAAAACAAATCTTTGAACAAGGTTTTTGAGTTTCATCATAATTGTTCTTCAAGGGTAAAGAACATGCAGGTAACTTTTCATACGATGGGCATTAGCAACGATAGACCATCTTTACACAATTAACTTAACGACTCAACCTTCTGCATGCTCATCTATTCAACAGACTAATTCATAAGTACCGCCAACACCAATTTACTTCAACTTAACCAATTTCCATTGTGTTCGATTAAGTATCAAGACTTAAATTGGTGAAACCATTAGTGTTACTGTCACCAGATTAAAGAAGTACTTGTGTAACTACAACTGGTTATCAAAAGGAGGAATTACAAAACCCAAGCCGTCAAACTGGAGACTGTATGTTTGGACAATCAAAAGACACTGTTTTGATTGATTGCCTTCTGAATGAGTATTAAATGAAACCCACCCAGTTAGGAAACCATTTCATTAGTCTGTATTTTTTTTTCCTGTCATTCGTCTACAATTCTTTTACATTTGTTAGTGGTTTATGCTCTTCACTAACTAACAATGTCATGAAAAAGGGAAGAAAGAAGGCTCAAGCACCATCATGTAAGATAAAAAAGATGGTTTTACAACAAAAATCCTTCAAAAAGGAGGAAAATTCTAAAATGACATCAGATACCAATTTATGCTGGAAATTAATAGCTGATCTTACAGTCACAAAGACCATGTCTGCACCATAAACTGCATCCTCTATGGCTTCTTTGCTTTCTTTCGCAGCATTCGTGCCAATATCTGGGTTCCCACCAGCGCCAAGTCCCCTGGTAAGCTCTTGACCAATCTGTAACCGATGCTCAGGAAACACAGGTGACATTTTCATCGCTTGAATATCAGTATTAACAATCCAGAACTCCACACCCTTCATAGAACTCTCTATCATACGATTAACTGCATTTGACCCACCGCCTCCAACACCAATAACCTTTATCCTAGCCTCATTGTAATTACTTGAACTCGACGAATCTCTTAAGCTCTCGGTGACACTCCCACTTGCACTATCCTGCCTCGGATTAGGCACCGTGTTGTTCCCCTCTCCACCTCTAAGCATTGAAATTTCTGGGTGCAAATTCAGAAATGGGTCTTTATTATGATACTGATTGACACTGTGAGAGTTGGCTGAACATTTAATCTGAGCCCAATTTGAAGCAACCTTTTGGTTAACACCTGACAACCCATTATTTTCCTCAAACACCTTCAGGGAGCTTACTCTTCCCAAGTGATTATTCTCCATCAATACTCTCCCTCCAAGAACAGTTAGTACACCCATTGGGCCTCGAGTATCGAAAGGCTTAAAATATGGGGATATAGACGTTGCCATTACACAACAGCCTAAATCTCAGAAGTTAATGTAACTTGACTAATGCCACAAAATAAAGAAACCCAATTCCCTATACGTCAAACTGAAGTCCGAAATAATTCTTCCAATACCTATTAATCAGAAACCAGAAAACCAGAAAATACTCAGGTACAGGAAGAAGAAGCCCATCTAGAGAGTGACATTTAAACCTCTTTCAAAAATGCCTCGGATAACAAAAAAATCAACAGAAGTTGAACTAAAAAGTCAGAAATACTAGAATGGCACGTTCGCTGATGAAGAATAAGAATTAACATAATCACACTGCCCGGAATGAAACCCAGGTAACTGAAAACCCCCCAAAACAGTACATGTCGCTTAAAAAAATAAAACCCAAATATAGTTGTGTAAAAATGCTATAATTTCACATTTCATGGCAACAAGCGGATGAACTGCAATGAAATGACCCAAAAGAGTACAGCAAATTTAAGTTAAAAAACAAGCCTAAAATATGAATAACTAAATGAAACACAAAATAAAATGAAAAGTGGGTTACTAGAGAGAGAGAAATTAGAGATAGAGACCTGCTAAAGTTGCTGGAAACGAAAAGCAGAAACAGCAATGCTCGGAGCATGAGAGGAGGGTCGAAATGGGGGGCTTCGGTTTCTTTGGCCTTTTTGGACGATTTGTTTTGAGCTAATCAATTTACTCAACCAGAGTAGAGACCGGTGTCGTTGTTAATTTGGTTATACAGTCTGGGTTTTTTTTGTTGACCCAAAAAAAGTCCCCTACACCGAACACACACACACTCTCTCTCTCACACACACACACACACACACACACACACACACTACTAGTCAAAATTTTATTGAGGGGACATGTGTGAGCTCCAACTCACAGATATATGACACTCCCTAATCTCTTATCGCCCCTGGGTTTTAATTGATTGGCTCACTTTCTCCTGACCTTTTAAGGCTAACCCACTGGAGAGAGCCAGGGAGTGATAAGAAAAAGATGGCTTAAACCTACATCCCAGTAATTAGGAAAATGGGTAGTGGGAAGGAGGAGAAAACCATGTTTTTTTTTTTAATGTTTTTTGGGTTGGGAGTGGGGGATTGTGTGTGTTTGATGGAGGTGTAGGAGGAATTTTTGTGGTGGAAAGATATATATTGAGGGCAAAATTGGATATTTTGAGTGTGAAAATAAGTTATAGAGGAGTGTTATACCAAATTTACTTTTTGGCATTATACCTTCACATTTTAGCCAATAATTATAAATCATTTAATTCAAATCAATGGTCCGAATTGTTTTTTAGAACAAACAATATCATAATACCACGGTACCAACTGTTGGGAAAATAGGCTTTCCCACAAGTGTAAATCAATGGAAGCAATATAAATAAAATAACAGAAAATAAATAAGCACACAAGATTTACGTGGTTCCCTCAAATAACTTGAGGTACATCCACGACGACCGGTAGGTCAGTTTCTTCCACTATCACCAAATCAGATTACAAAGTGGCCAAAAGGCATAAGCCTTACAAACACACCAAGGTGTAAATCACAAGAGGAAAATACCTCACAAAATAAGTGAACCAAATCTCCAAGAACAAACCGCAAGAAACCCAAATATCAAGTGAAGAAATATTACCCACTTGAAGAACAAATTTGCAGATTTTTCTGGCACCAAAAAGGAGAAGAAGAAGGCTGAATTTTTGTTGAACCAAAGACTGCTGAAAAATATGTCTTCTTGCCAAACCAACCGAGAATAGAATGAACCAAAGAAAAGGACAAAACTTATAGTCTTTTGGTGGCTGCCAAATTCCTTTTTAACTAGAAGACTCCAAACCAAGTCTTGGATAAGAGTCCTACACGGGTAAGCCACCAAAAAATTAGCAAATTGATGAGTCCCACAAAGGAGGGAAACCCAACAATTCTCCCCCTCCCGACTTATGTGGAGGATTCGACCATTCCCGCCAAAAGTCGACACTTCTCATGCTTGTCCTTAGTCAATGTCTTAGTTAACATATCCGAAGTGTTATCATCAGTGTGAATTTTTTCAAGTTGTAACAACTTATCATTCAAGACATCACGAATCCAATGATATCTAACATCAATATGTTTCGATCTCGAATGAAATGAAGAATTCTTGCTCAAGTGGATTGCACTCTGACTATCACAATGAAGGACATACCTTTCTTGTTTCAAACCCAACTCTTGTAAGAATTCCTTCAACCACAATAATTCTTTGCAAGCTTCAGTGATGGCGATGAACTCAGCTTCTGTGGTGGAGAGAGCAACACATTTCTGTAATCTTGATTGCCATGCCACTGCTCCCCCTGCAAAAGTAATCAAATAACCAGAAGTAGATTTTCGACTATCAACATCACCAGCCATATCAGAATCTGTGAACCCATCAAGAATAGGCTCGCCTTTACCAAAACACAAACTCATCTTTGAAGTGCCCTGAAGATACCTCATAATCCATTTCACGGCTGCCCAGTGTTCTTTCCCTGGATTAGACAAAAATCGACTGACAACCCCAACTGCGTGAGCAATATCCGGTCGAGTACAAACCATGGCGTACATCAAAGAACCAACTGCTGAAGCATAGGGAATTTTCTGCATCTCATTTCTCTTTTCATCACTTGTAGGACACTGACTTGAGCTTAGTTTGAAGTGGCCTGCAAGTGGACAATTAACAGGCTTTGCTTTGTCCATATTGAACCTCTCAAGAACCTTTTTAATATAATTCTCTTGAGATAACCAAATCAGCCCATGTGATCTGTCACGAACAATTCTCATCCCAAGAATTTGTTTTGCTGGACCCAAATCCTTCATGGCAAAGGACTTACTCAACTCTGACTTCAACTTGCTAATCTTACTCGTGTCTTGGCCCACAATAAGCATATCATCAACGTAAAGCAAGAGAATAATAAAATTATCATCTTTATATTTCTTCACAAACACACAATGATCTGAAGTGGTTCTTGAATACCCATTCTCACTCATGAAAGCATCGAATTTTCTGTACCACTGCCTCGGTGCTTGCTTCAATCCATACAAGCTCTTCTTCAATTTGCAAACTAACTGATCATTACCCTTATCTTTGAAGCCCTCAGGTTGCTCCATATAAATTTCCTCTTCTAAGTCACCATGCAAAAATGCGGTCTTTACATCAAGCTGCTCAACTTCTAAATTCATACTCGCAGCTATACCAAACACAGTTCGAATGGAGGACATCTTCACAACTGGTGAGAAGATCTCATCAAAATCAACTCCCTTTCTCTGATCAAAACCTTTCACAACAAGTCGTGCCTTGAATCTCGGTTGAGAACTGTTCCCATCATTCTTTCGTCTGAAGATCCATTTATTTTTCAAAATTTTCTTCCCTTTAGGCGGCTTCACCAAATCATAGGTGTGATTCTCATGCAAAGACTTCATTTCCTCTTTCATTGCCTTGAACCATTCAGTTTTGTTCTCATGCTTCAAGACTTCTTGATAAGTCCCTGGCTCCCCCTGATCTGATATCATCACATACTCATTTGAAGAATATTTTCTGGATGGTTGTTTTTCTCTAGTAGATCTCCTTAACGATGTCTGTGGTAGTGGCTCTTGGGGTGGTTGCTCCCCCTCAATCTCTGGTTCAACATCATCTTCTGCTGCATCATCATGAGGTGTTTGCACTTCCTCATCAATATCATGAACAGCAGAGGGATTGAGAGGATCTAAATCAACAAGATCATCAGTACTAGACTCAGCTGACTCAAGCTTGTCAATGTCTTCAATAGTCTGATCTTCCAAGAAAACAACATCTCGGCTTCTGACAACTTTCTTGTCAACTGTATCATACAACCTGTATCCAAATTCTTCATGCCCATAGCCAAGAAATATGCATTGTTTTGCTTTTGGATCAAGTTTGGACCTTTCATCTTTTGGAATATGAACAAAAGCTCTGCAGCCGAATACCCTCAAGTGATCATAAGAGACTTCCTTCCCTGTCCAAACTTTCTCTGGCACATCACCATTCAACGGAACTGAAGGAGACAAATTGATAAGATCAACTGCGGTCCTCATTGCCTCACCCCAAAAGGATCTTGGCAATTTAGAATGTGAGAGCAAACATCTGACTCTCTCAAGAATGGTGCGATTCATTCTCTCTGCAACCCCGTTCTGTTGAGGTGTCTTTTTAACTGTCTTTTCATGCCTGATACCATGATTTGTGCAATACTGATCAAATGGTCCAATATATTCACCACCATTATCCGAGCGAACACATTTCAACTGTCTACCTGTTTCTCTTTCAACCTTGGCCTGAAAAATCTTAAACACATCTAGAACTTGATCTTTAGTTTTCAGTGTATAAGCCCAAACTTTTCTAGAGTGATCATCAATAAAAGTGACAAAGTATAGAGCACCACCAAGTGTCCTAACTTTCAAAGGACCACATACATCAGAATGTACCAAATCTAAAACATGAGATTTTCTAGATGCAATGTTTCTACGGAATGATATTCTGTTTTGTTTACCATGGAAACAATGAACACAAGTTTTCAAAGGCGTACCTTTTATTCCCACTAGAAGCTCTTTCTTGGACAAAACTTGCAATCCTTTTTCACTCATGTGTCCAAGCCTTATATGCCATAAATCAGTGGATGAGTCATTCTCTAAGGTATTCACAACACCCTTGCAGATTTTTGTTTGCATAGTGTAAAGAGAACAAGTCTTCTTTCCTTTTGCTACCACTAGAGAACCTTTGGAGAGCTTCCATTTTCCATTACTGAAATTGTTGATGTAGCCTTCATCATCTAACTTTCCAGCGGAGATTAAATTGAGTCGAATATCTGGTACATGCCTCACATCTCTGAGCAGCAATTTGCATCCAATATTTGTTTCCAAGCAAATGTCACCCATGCCGACAATTTTTGACACATCTTCATTTCCCATACGGATATTCCCAAAATCACCTTGTGAGTAAGAAGTAAAGAAATCAGCCCGCGAAGTAACATGAAATGAAGCTCCAG